CGAACCCGCGACCATCGGTCGTAAAGCGGTGTACTAGACCGCTAGACCACCGAGGTCGTCAGAAATATATTATTATTATTATTCTCTTTTTCACAGCTTCGGCTGGTGACTAGTACCGAGGATGGGACATGCCAAGTCTGTCGTTACTTTATTCTGTTTGATAGTTCATTCTGTGGCATTTAAGAAGCGACGGACTATAGCACATGTATCTAAGATAACAGCCTTTTGTAGTGGAATTATTATTAAAAGAGCAACACGCAAGTTTCTATCTGATTCTTCTTGTGATGAAACAACTTTCCGAATGAGCGGTAGATTAAAAAAAATGTGATGACTATTCAAAAGTGCTTCAATAAATTTATTATTTAAATAAATGATTTCCTATTTTATTCTATAGTAGCTGTTCCCGCGACTTCGTCCGCGTGGATTTAACTTTATTTTTCTGAAATAAAAGTAGCCTATGTTACTAAGGAGTAACATAGGCTACTTTTATTTACGTTTTTTGGCAGGTGCCTGATGTAATAAGGATTACATCAGGCACCTGCCAAAAAACGTCCCGTTAAAATCGGTCTAGTCATTTCAGAGATTAGCTGGAACAAACAGACAGACAGACAAAAATTGTAAAAAATAGTGCATGTAGTAAAAATCGGTTATTTCAATATTACAAACAGACACACCAATTTTTATATGTTGTGTCTGTTTGTAATATTGTTTTTATATGTATAGATAATGATTTATTTGTACTGAACAAATGTAGTCTTTATAAGTGTAAAATAATGTAGCTGACCTTACAATAGCATGTTTCATAATTACCGACTCAACTAATGAGAGCACTCAAGATATTACGATATTCCAAAAATCCCAAAGCGCTATATTTAATTACGTAGATTCTCATCCATTAGATATAAAGTTTACGACAGTTAACTTCGTTTTACGGTGTCAAAGGCGACCGCCTTTGTTAGCGGGGGTGGGCGGGGGCGAGTGAGGGGCAGTCGGCGGCTAGTCAAACACACATCACGTTAATGCGCCTCGCGGAGTTAATCCTGTCTCGTTAAACATTACGGCTTGATGTCACACCCCTTTGACCCCCCATGACCCCCCACCCCGTGACCCCCCGCGACCCCCCGCTCTGAGTGACGGGTTGGCGGCGCGGAATTAACTAAATTTTAGCGTAGTGGCTCATTTAGCGGGTTATATGTACTTACATATGCGGGTAACGGCAGCGGTCACCAGCGCTCCCACCGTTTGACGTCCAACTTTGTTTTATTTGGGTCATTTATTTATTATAGAATAGAATAGAAAATCATTTATTCAAATAAACTTAATTTAGCACTTTTGGATAGTCATAACAATTTTTTTTATCTACCGCTCCTTCGGAAAGCTGTCTCATCACAAGAAGAACGAGAGAGAGAAACTTGCGTGTTGCTCTTTTAAATAATTTTATTACTTTACATTTTTAAGTTTAAGTGTGTGATTACAAACCACCAATTAGCAGTAATTCAATTAAATACTCAAATAGAAAAAATATTTAATATAGAACCACCAGTTGGTTGTATAAACAATAGTTTTTTTCTATAATATAATAATATTTCAGGACAATTCACACAGCGCCATCTAGTCCCAAGCTAATCAGAGCTTGTGTTATGGGCACTAGACAACTGATATAAATACATGGATACATTTTTTTTGTAAATAAATACATATTATACAAAGAAAACACCCAGACCGATACAAACAATCATACTCATGAATACAAATGTTTGTACCGTGCGAGGAATCGTACCCACGACCACCGGATAGTAAAGCGGAGTGCTAAACCACTAGACCACCGAGGCTGTCAATATATGATGTTCCAATAATATCAGATGTTCCACAAAGGGGAGAACTCCCTGAAGAATTGGTACATGACTTAGACCTATTTTCCTTGTATTAGAGCTGTCGTCAGATTACGTGAATTATTTTGATGGCAGACACGTGAGTTATTGGAATGATTGAAACATGCATTGTAGTCACATCAACGTGAATGGAGTACAAATCTTAATCTATACATCTATACATATAAATAAAATTGGAGTGTCTGTTTGTAATATTGAAATAACAGTTTTTTACTACATGCATATGAATAAATACTTGAAAAAAATGTGATAACTATTCAAAAGTGCTTGTAAGTGTATTTGAATAAATGATTTTCTATTCTATTCTATTCTACTAGTGCTAGCAATGGGTTCAATAATTACACATTATTAAGAAACCCAAACTCGTCCCCACTATTAACTGTTACATATTTGGAAACCATATTCAATTATGAATTCCTTACATCCACTCGTAGAAATATATAATTGAAGGAAAGAAATAAAGCAACCAATTCACAGATCGTCTGTGACACAACAAACGAGCCCGTGAATGGCCGTCCCGCCGTGATCTCACACTCGGCACTCAGCACATATTTTATTCGAACCTCAAACCCGACGAGAGACAGACGGGACAAACATTACTGTCACTATATACGTGTTAAGGCTGCATGTCCCCGACCAGACTCCATACACAACGTGAACATTTTCAACAATAACTAAATAATAAACGTATCGGACAATTCACACAACGCCATCTAGTCCCAAGCTAAACACAAGAAGTTTCTTGTGCTGAGTCTGCGTTTCGAATGTGCGGTAGAATAAAAAAATGTGATTATTCAAAAGTGCTTATATTAAGTTTATTTGAATAAAGATTATTTCTATTTCTAATCAGAGGTTGTGCTGTAGGTGCTGGATAAGTATGTTTTTGACGCCGTAGCAATCGCACGCGCATCTTTAGTTTATTTTCATAGCGTTCCGTACTTAAGAGTACTTAATATCGGGCTAAACTATTTGTCTTATATTGTAATATAAATTCTAGTAATAAACGCATTGGAGAATCTATAACAGTCCACACTTTTCACTCCCTGACGCCAACAGGTTAGGTGGTTTTGTTGTGCTGCGATTTTCTCTCGTCGTGCTTCCTTCGTTCTTGGTTCTCCTGGGTACTTTGGTTTCACCAGTTATGACCCTTTTCAGCAGATCAAGATCATCGTCATTCAAGAGCTCCTGAGCGATGAATTTCGTTTGAAAGTATTGCTATCATGAGGACGCAAAGTCTCTAAATAAAGAGAGATTAGTTCTCTCTTTATTTAGAGACCTTTATTTAAAAGAGCAACACAAGTTTCTTGCTCATTCTTCTTGTGATGAGTCTGCATTCCGAATGAGCGGTAGAATAAAAAAATGTGACTATTCAAAACTGCTTTATTAAGTTTATTTGAATAAAAGATTATTTCTATTTCTATTTTTTATTTCTATCAACCTACTTATAAAGGAAAATATTTTCAATCGGATAGCATTGCAACCGACTGCCAAAAAGAAGGAGGTTTTCAATTCGGCTGTTTTTTTTAATGTTTGTTACATCATCTCACCCATTCATAAACCGATTTGAAAGAGTAAACTTTCCGATTTGTCCAAATTTTTGGAGTCGGTTTCAGAATACCTACAGCAGTTTGTTTGCGTGGACACCGTCCTCTTAACCCGTAACTCCTAAGGCTACAGAACACAACCGTAACAAATTGGTCCTACAGCAATCCTACAGAGGATAATAAAAATTTACTCACCACTAAACCCCTTATCACGGTGCAGTTTAATACCGATTTTTATCGGCTCTCATTCGGTTTATTCGAGTTGTGCGTGAACACCTCACTCGATGTCGTAAACATGCTCGTCTATTGTGTGACGCTGGCGGTGCTGAAAGCAACTGATGGGTTTAACATTCAGTTGAATACATTAAAAAACAAATACCTGCGATAAATATAAAGTAAGTCCTCATTGATTGAAAATTTTTCCCTAAAATTTTTACAAGAGTGAGTTTCCTAAAAATTTCAAAATAGAATAGAATGGAAAACAATTTATTCAGATAAACTTAATTTAAGCAATTTTGGATAGTCATAGTTATCATTCTTTTAATCTACCGCTCATTCGGATCGCTGTCTCATTATAAGAAGAACGAGCAAGAAACTTGTGTGTTGCTCTTGAAAAATTTTCCTAAATATTTTACAAAAAGTGCGAATTTAAGAATAGAATAGAAAATCATTTATTCAAAAAACCTTAATTGAAGCACTATTGTTCTTCACTTCAATCTACTGCTCATTCGGAAAGCTGTCTCATCACAAGATTGAGTAAGAAACTTGCGTGTTGCTCTTTTAAATAATCCTTGTAAATTTACATTTTTATGAGTCGAAACGTGTGAATGCAAACCACCAACTAGCACTAATTTATTAAGGTCAAATATAAATACACAATAAGATTAAATCAGTCGTAGTGATACGAGCAGATCAGTCACTCGTTCACGAGTATGACGGATGAGCCAGCCATCACTGCGCTCGACCATATTTTAGGGAGCGCAATAACCCGGCCCACCACGCCGCCACATGTCTGAACATTTATTTATTATATATGTCCAGACATATGGCGGACATATATAATAAATAAAAATATTTATAAATACACAATAAGATTAAATCAGTCGTAGTGATCAGAGCAGACCAGTTCTTTGGCAGATAATTTCGGAAATCACTATTTTTTTAAAGAGAGGAATATGGTATGTTAATGGCATTATGAACCAGATGGGATATTAAATATTCTTTATTACACTTAAATACATTTTTAGATATATTAATTAGACTTAATGTTAACAAAGGATGACTTATCTCTACAAGAGATCTCTTCCAGTCAACCCAATACAGCGTGGCATAGGAAGTGTTGAGTGGGTCAAATTGTGCCAATAATAATTTAATAAAAATTATATTAATAATTAATATTATTTATATTCTAAGATACTTACAACAGTAGTAATAGTATAATATAATAATTTCCTGAACAATTAACACAGAGCCATCTGCACAATAGATCTATATAGGTCTCGCTACCACAGGTTCCAACACCTAACAATAACACAAACAACCCAATGAAAAAATGCATCCACAGATGAATGGTGAGGTTACATTCGATTTGAGACTCTCCGATGTGGGTTACGAACGTGTCAGGTACGACGGGAATCAAACGGGTGACCCTCCAGCCGTGAGAGCCAGGGTCACCGCCGCAGAGGCTGTGGGATGCGTGTACCAGATACCTGAGAAGCGACAAGCTGACGCCATACTTAGCAATTTAATGAACGAACTCGTAAAGGTATATAGAAAAAAAATATAAGGAGTTTTGATTATATATATTGTAGGATTTATTTTATTTATTTAATAGCTGACCCCACAAACATCGTTTTGCCATATAAATTAAAATCGCTATTAAAAAATAGGGGTTGGTGATAGACGAGTGAATATTTACGGTTGTATGTATTTTAAACGCCACATTATAAAAAAAAAAAAAAATTTAGGGGTCGGTCCAGCTATTTCAGAGATAAGCCGGAACAAACAAACAGAGAGACAAAAATTGTCAAAAATGTTATTTTGATGTATGTACCGTATTTATATTCTTATGCATGTAGTAATAAATGGTTATTTCAATGTTACAAACAGACACTCCAATTTTATTTATATGTATAGAAAGTCATTAAGACAATCTGTCTGGCGATGCAATTAATCCATTATATTTATACTATATAATTACATTATGTTATCTGTGATGTATATATATATATATATATATATATAAATCTTTTTGTAGAAAATATCTAACTTAAAATTCATAGCGCTGACAATATTATCTGATTACACTAATAATGAGTGCGTAGCGATTTCTATGTTGATTATCGCATGCCTCTTACTTGTTATACTGTATATATAATATACTGCTATATAAATAATTATTATATAAAAAAAAACATCTATTCAAAAGAGCAACACACAAGTTTCTCACTCATTCTTCATGTGATGAATCTGCATACCGAATGAGCGGTAGAATCAAAATATGACTATTCAAAAGTGCTTGTAATGAGTTTATTTGAATAACGATTTATTTCTATTTCTATATTATTCTAAAATTTAGAAACTAAGTAAGTACTTGAGTAACTTAATTATATTTATATATGCAGGTGTATGTCCGAGCACGTGAATATATACAAGGCATCATAAATGGACGTCGCAAGCACAACAAAAGATACTTTATTGTATCAATCAAAAACTCCACATTCTTTGAAGATATCTACTTCGAAATGATGCAAGAATTTAAGTAAGTACTGTCTGTTTACTTTTTTTATTGATGATAATGTAACAGTGCTCCCGTCTGAGCTGTTTACGCTGGCACCAGTGGAGGATGAGAAGATGAACATGTGGTCAGGTCAGTTAGCGAATTTTGACAAATGACCAGGAATTTATCACGATGGTTTCCAGAGGGAACCGCGCGGAAGTCTACCTAACGTTTATTTATATTTATTTATTTATTATCAGAAAAATCTGCATTATACAATATTCTTACATTTGTACAATAATAAATACACTTATATATAAAACTATGTACATATGTGTAGCTGGTAATGAATAGAATAGAAAATCATTTATTCAAATAAACTTAATTTAAACACTTTTGAATAGTCAACAATTTTTTTTTAAATCTACCGCTCTTTCGGAGAGCTGTCTCATCACAAGAAGAACGAGCAAGAAACTTGTGTGTTGCTCTTTTAAACAATCCTTGTAAGTTCACATTTTACAAGTCGAAACGTGTGAATACAAACTACCAACCAGCACTAATTTATTTAGGCTCAAATATAAAAACACAATAAGATTAAATCAGTCGTAGTGATAAGAGCAGACCAGTCCCTACAAGTAGCACTCGTTCACGAGTATGAGACATCTCTCATATCATTGGCTCATCAGCCAGCCATCACTGCGCTCGACCATATTTCAGGGAGCCCAATGACCCGGCCCACCACGCCGCCACATGTCTAGATATTTTAGTGAGCATGACTACTCATTCCACTCGACCTCGTCATAGCTACTTAAATTTATTATTATTTTTTTTTTTTAATGGTATTAAGGTTTTGTGTCGAATAGATGAAGAGGCGACCAACTCAGCATAAAGCTACAGATAAATCTGCGCTGATATTCTGTTAGTCCTATAATTAACAAAATTATAATTATTTTGATTGGTAGGCAATTGTATGGCGAGACAGAGTCTCGAGTGGTGCGCTCGAAAACGCCCTGCGACCAACAGCTGCAACTCCAAAACCTGTGGCGTCAGCTGCTGGATCGATCGCTGGCAGCGCTGCAGCGGGCGACGACGCGCTGTGTGGACGAACTGCTGGTCGAGACCTCGCTGAAGGAGAAGATCCACGCACGCCGAAAACTGATGCAGTTTCTCGTGGGAGAAATGGAAAGGATTCGGTCCTCACAACTGGACCTGCTGTGTGACCATTTCCAGCTGTGCTATAACGAGTTGCTCTAACGTTTATAGAAAGAAAGAAAATATATTGCCTTTTTGCGTATGGGCTATGCACACTACGTTACTCATAACTTTTTTTAACCTGTATTGCATTTTATTTTGTCTGTATATTTGTTGTGTATTGTATTTTGTTGGATTTGACTAATGTAATTGTATATCTGTTTTTATTTTTGTTTATTAATATTACAGGACCGGAAGACGCAGCGTGAAGGCCTCCAGCAAGGTGGACGAACGATCTGGTCAAGATCGCTGGAAAGCATTGGACGCGAGCAGCGCAGGACCGATCGTCGTGGAGATCTTTGGGGGAGGCCTATGTCCAGCAGTGGACGTCTTCCGGGCTGCGATGATGATGATGATGATGATGATTAATATTACAGGGCCTTATGTGTATACGCCTTTAACATGAATAAATTTTTATCTATCTTATACATAAAATTCTCGTGTCACAGTTTTCGTTCCCATACTCCTCCGAAACGGCTTGACCGATTCTCATGAAATTTTGTGAGCGTATTGAGTAGGTCTGAGAATCGGTCAACATCTATTTTTCATCTCCCTAAATGTTAGGGGTCCACTCCGCTCCAAAATTTTTATTTTATTTTAAGGCCAAACAACGTTTGCCGGGACAGCTAGTCTATTTATTCGACAGATGTTAAAAAAAACACTCACTAACCAAAAAGAACTCAAAACTTTGCAACAATTACAAGAAAAGATCCTTTTACCATTTATAGAATAGAATAGAAAATTATTTATTCAAATAAACTTACATAGAAGCACTTTTGAATAATCAACAATTTTTTTTTAAATCTACCGCTTATTCGGAAAGCTGTCTCATCACAAGAAGAATAAGCAAGAAACTTGTGTGTTGCTCTTTTAAAGAATCCTTGTAAGTTCACATTTTACAAGTCGAAACGTGTGAATACAAACTACCAATCAGCATATATTTGAGCCTAAATAAATTAGTTTATTTAGGCTCAAATATATTTATTATTACAATATTACACAATTATTTTTCTATTCTCGTAGTTGACATCGCGCATACAGCTATGACGCGCTGTGAACCAAACATGTTATGGATATGAAATTTCGGATACGGATAGGTTTCGGATATAGGAATGATTATTAAACCGGATACGGATACGGATATGAAATTATTTCGGAATATTCGCTAGTTTCGGATAATTTCGGTTACGGATATTAATTTTTTAAGGAATATAATACGAATAGCTAATCAAATGGTTACATAACGTGTCTCAATTAGGCTCCGCCTCTATCCGATGTTATCCGAAACTTTTATTTCGGATTCGGTTACGGTTATGGATATTTTTATAACGGATATCCAACAGTTTTGCTTACGGTTACGGGGCTCCTTAACATCCCTGCTGTGAACATTCTGCATCTGTGACGCATTACGTTTGCGCGGGAAAAAACAGATAACAAAATGGCTTCTTCTGCAGACACATTGAATAATTGTTGTACTCCTGATTCCTAATTATTTTATACTGTTTTACATAACTTCGCGCCATTTATTTCACATCACCGACAATTCATACTGCCTATGTGATGGAAACAGTGAGCAAACGTTTGAACATCTCTTCAATAATTGTCCTATTTTTGGAAGAGCCCATTACGACCATGAACAAGTGTGTCTAATGCATAAAATTGACTCCCCCTACAAGTTGACCAGCATCATTACGAAGCCAGACACTCTGGCTTCGTAATGATGCACTTGCTAAAACAATAGTGAATAATTTAAAAAAGATAAATAACACATAAGACTATAAATGCGTAAATACATAAAATATAATATTATATATAAAATAGCATATATATATGTATATATAAACATAAACTATTTATTATATAAATAATGTAAATATGTATGTGTGTCATCTATATAAATATATATGATAAACACCTAGTGAAACACAACTAGCCCTACAAAAATTTTTGCTGTATCAAATCGCAGCTGAAGTCAATACATGTTAATTAAAAAAAAAAATAATAATAATGTCAGTGAAACAAATAAAATAAATAAATAAAAAAAAACTATATGATATGGTTTTATTCCCCATATCCTAATTCCTGTCCCGCTCACAGTATGTCAACTGAGGTCGCCCGACTACCTTGTCTGACGTGAATGATGACATCTCGTCCCAACCGCTCCGCTTTAAATTAATTAATATAATATTGACATTAACAATAAGTGACTTGTGTTAAACTTAGTATTCATCGAGTGCAGCAACTGTTTTTTTTTCGGTTACTCTACTACTCTGCTATTGGCCGCAGCTGGCCTTTACAGCTTCACCGGACGTTAGGGGGCGAGTGCAGATGGCACTCCAAACTAAGGAAGGACATATGGAGCGGCTGAAGGCCAACTCCTGCCTGACGGATACGACTTTAGTCTGACCACCACTAGGGGTTCGAACCTCGGAACCGTCGTAATTTCGATCCCCGTTTGAATTGGACGGGGGATCGATCAGAGGGGAGCAGTAGCTGTGCAAGAATACACCCGCTCTGCAGTCGCAGGTACGTACTATGCATCCCCCCCTTATTTCACTCCATACAGTCCACTTACCATATCCGCTATCCCTCATTTCTCTAATAACTTTATTTGGCTGCAACTTACTTTTATTTCAATATATTACTTTTATATACAAGAAACGACTATAAATACAGTCCTTAACATACCTATCGGTAGTCTTTTATTAAGTTAAGTTGGAAAAATAAAACATTTTTTTGTATATAATTTTGTTTTATTAAATCTAATTGTATAAATGGATATAAAATGAATTTTTAAATTGTATCTACTAAATATCAGATAGTGTTACTAGATAAAACTATTATACATTATACTAGCCGTACACGCGACTTCGTCCGCGTGGAATTTAACTTTATTTTTCTGAAATAAAAGTAGCCTAAGTTACTCCTTATTACATCAGCTACCTGCCAAAAAAATTCCCGTCTAAATAGGTCCAGCCATTTCAGAGATTAGCCAGAACAAACAGACAGACAGACAGACATAAATTGTAAAAAATGTTATTTTGGTGTATGTACCGTATTTACATTCATATGCATGTAGTAAAAAACGGTTATTTCAATATTACAATTTTATTCTTCAGAGCTGGTAACCTTGGACAAAGAATTAGTCTAGCCATTCAAAGAGGGAACGCTGCCAGTATCTTCGGAACCTTGCCTAAAGGGACCCCTTTTAATAATATATTTTAGTTATTATAATATATTTTTTAAGCTTTTTATATTTAGGTTGCAGTTGTACAATTAAGTTTTATATATTAACTTATAGATTTACATTTATTTATAATAATAGTATATCATTTCTCTTATCAGTAGTCTGATTATTTTATATAGTTTTTTTTTGTGATATTTATATGTCTTAATAATAAACTAAAAATAATTTTACAAGTTTTATGTATATGTATACAAAACAAGTGCTTTTAATTATTGTTCAGCATTCAGGTTAAACTCTAATTGCTATATTACAATATTTACAAATAGATCTCATCACTATTCATTCATCACAACTTTTTTTATTATTGGATTGTTTGGGCTATTGTCAGATGTTTGTAGCACCTGTAGCACTGCGACCTACATAGATCTATTGTGCTCGCCCTTTTCAAAGTTGCTACCTAGACCCGTCAGGGACAAGAATTGAAGGATATTCTTAGGAGCGATGGTTTTTATCTCCTCGGGAAAGAGTGTAAACTTTCCAAAGGAGATATTTCATCACAACTTCGTCTCGTCCCACTGCTGGGCACGACTCTCTTTTAAATTTATTATCACATGTGTCTATATACATACCTAGCTGTTCCCGCGACTTCGTCCGCGTGGAATTTAACTTTATTTTTCTAAAATAAAAGTAGCCTAAAGTATTAAAAATTATTTTGTTCGTCTTAATTTATTCGTTCCATTAGGTGCTGATAGGTTCAAACTAATACATTTACATCCTGCATCATCCCTTATTTTATCCCCATGGGGTTTGAATTTATCAATATCCTATTTAAGCGAACGTCTTCATCATAGTAGCTCCAATCTTTAATTTCAGTTCAATCAGTCGAAAATCTATCTTTATACAAACTTTCATCCCCTATTTTATTCCCTTTGGGGTAGAATTAATCAAAATCCTTTCTTAGCGGATGCCTACGTCATAACATCTACTTGCATGCCAAATTTCAGCCCGATCCGTCCAGTGGTTTGGGCTGTGCGCTGATAGATCACTATGTCAGTCACCTTTGAGTTATATATATTTAGAAAGAAGTATTTCATCCCTCTAGTGGTTTATAACCTAAATGCCTCCTAAACCTAACGAAGAAAGATTCATCCGTGAACGTACTAGGAGAAAAGATCTGCAATCCCAAATGATTCCTAAATTCACAATAGTTACATACAGTACGAAATATGAATCTGTGATATTGTTTAATAATTTACCAATACATCTAAAAACTATTTATAGTTTCACATTGTTTAAGTCCAGATTGAGGTCATATTTATTGAATATGTTACTATTCCGTAGATGACTATTATAATGATGGACATAAAGACTTATGAGGACCTGCACTATACGGGCTGACATACCTAGATTTAATATTTAAGTTGCTATTATGTTGTTGACAAAAATTTTCTGTAATGTTGCAATTATGTTATCCTACACAATTTGTATTGTTTTGGATGAATAAATAATACTAATAATATACAGACGACATTCGGTACAAATTATTTTATAAATATAGATAAAAATAATAAAGTTTCCAATCGTAGACTTTCATGAGTACTGTTCAAGGAACTGCTGATGGAACTTCGCGATGGAGTGCAGCATGTGTTGGAACTCGTCGGCCGGGTGCAGGATCGTGGTCCGGAAGTGGAAGGTTCCCGGCAGCTGGCCGAACCCCGTACCGGGGACTACGCAAACTCCTGAGAAATATAGATAGATGAATAATGAAGCATTTAATTCTTTTCAACAATTACAAACGCATATCGTACATAAGATACATTTTATAAATAGAAATAAAGTTTGCAAATTAAAAATATAGGAATATAGAAGATATATATAATAGAATAAGAAATAGTTTAATAATACTGTATACAATTATAGCAGTGATTTATCGAAATATATTCAAGACAATATATTACTAGCTGTACTCGTGACTTCGTCCGCGTGGAAGTAACTTTATTTTTCTAAAATAAAAGTAGCCTAAGCTACTCCTTATTACATCAGCTACCTGACAAAAAAATCCGTCCTGTCATTTCAGAGATTAGCCGGAACAAATAGACAGACAGACAAAAATGGTAAAAAAAATTATTTTGGTGTATATACCGTATTTATATTCATATGCATGTAGAAAAAACGGTTATTTTAATATTGAAAACAGATACTCCAATTTTATTTATATGTATAGATGTATAGATTAAGATTTGTACTCCTTCACGTTGATGTGACTACAATGCATGTTTCAATCATTCCAAAAACTCACGTGTCTGCCATCAAAATAATTCACGTAATCTGACGACAGCTCTAGTACAAGGAAAATAGGTCTAAGTCATGTACCAATCCTTCAGGGAGTTCTCTCCTATGTGGAACATCTGATATTATTAGAACATCATATATTGACAGCCTCGGTGGTCTAGTGGTTTAGCACACCGCTTTACTATCCGGTGGTCGTGGGTTCGATTCCTCGCACGGCACTAACATTTGTATTCATGAGTATGATTGTTTGTATCGGTCTGGGTGTTTTCTATGTATAATATGTATGTATTTACAAAAAAAATATCTATGTATTATTAAATATTATTAGAACATCATATATTGACAATGTATGACGAACAACATCTATAATGTTACATCCACATCGACAGGTCGTAATTAAATAGAAAAGTCTAGAAACCGGAAACAAAACTCCCGCAGCGCCACGTACCTACATAAACATTTTTAATATTCGTCGAGTTTACGTTGCGAGCCGCGGAGGGCCCGCGCCAACTTGAGAATTTATCCCACTTCCCAATTGTTGGGCCTCGATAAATAAATGGGGTAGCTACCCCCTCTCCACTACCCTCTCACGCAGCTCACTCGATCTCGGCTCTATATCTATACATATAAATAAAATTGGAGTGTCTGTTTGTAATATTGAAATAACCGTTTTTTACTGCATATGAATATAAATACGGTACATACACCAAAATAACATCTTTTACAATTTTTGTCTGTCTGTCTGTTAGTTCCGGCTAATCTCTGAAATGACAGGACGGATTTTGACGAGATTTTTTTGTCAGGTAGCTGATGTAATAAGGAGTAGCTTAGGCTACTTTTATTTTAGAAAAATAAAGTTACTTCCACGCGGACGAAGTCACGAGTACAGCTAGTTTATAATATAACTGGATATTGCTCCTTGGCCCAGTTGCTCATTTTGTCTGTTGTTTTTTTCTTATGTCATTTTAATTGCGAACAAACTGACGAGTCACTCTATGTTAAGTTGTAACCGTCGAGGATAGAGGAAAGGTAAGTAATGCCGAATTGATGATCCCATTGCTACCAATGTAGCATGTCAGGTCGACCTCCACGCGGTTCCCCCTGGAAACCATCGTGATAAATTCCCGCTGAATTTGTGTCTGAGTTCATGATCATCTTATCATTCTCCACTGGTGCCCCGCCAGCGTAAACCGTTAGCGCAGGCGGGTGCACCATTCCATTATCAACCACTAAAAAACAACAGAAGTGATCTGTGATCCAAGAATATGAATATAATACATGTAAGGGAATGTGTATAAAACTGCCATCAGACCGGTTTTGATGTATGGGACAGAGTATTGGCCAAAAAAGAAACAATCAGATAAACTACGTGTAACCAAAATGCGGATGCTCAGATGGTCTGTTGGGTTACGCTTCTAGACAAGGCGCCAAACCATTACTTGCGAAGAACATTCAAAGTAAGACCTATCCAGGATAAATTGACTAAGACCAGATTACGTTGGCACGGTCACGTCATGAGAAGACCAGAAGACCATATGACCCAAAAGATGGTAAACGTCAATTCGAAACAAAAGAAGCGTGGAGGACCTCGACTTACAGCCGCCATCAAAAAGGACCTAACGCGTGAAAATTTAGACCCAATGACGATCCAGACACGAGGTCTCTGGAGAAGGATGATTACGAAAGCCGACCTCAATTAAGAATAGAATAGAATAGAATAGAAAATCATTTATTCAAATAAACTTACATTGAAGCACTTTTGAATAGTCGTAACATTTTTTATTCTACCGCTCATTCGGAATGCTGTCTCATCACAAGAAGAACAAGCAAGAAACTTGTGTTACTCTTTTAAATAATTTATTCTTACTTACAATTTAAGTTTAAGTGTGTGAATACAAACCACCGATTAGCACTAATTCAATGAAATAATAAAATAGAAAAAAAACATTCAATACACAACAACTGGTTAAACTATTAATAAGAGAAAATAAGTCATAGTGATTAGAGCAGACCAGTCCACACAAGCAGCACCCGTTCACGAGTATGACGGATGAGCCAGCCACCACTGCGCTCGACCATATTTTAGAGCCCAATGACCCGGCCCACCACGCCGCCACAAGTCTGTACATTTTAGTGAGCATGACTACTCAAAACACCAGACCACGTCATAGCTACTCACAATTAAGATGGGATAAGACCGGGATAGATAGGCCGGATCTTTTTATCTTGTAATTTTTTTTTTCCTTTTGATACTGTTATTGTAACTGATTTTGGTTTTTGTGAGCATTGAATATTGTAATTGTATTGTCATTTTTTATTTGTGTATCCTAGATCTTATTTAATATTAATTTTTTGTGTTTAAATTATATGTATCTGTATGTAGTAAAAAACCCGCATCTTAGTTTTTTTTTATGAGTAATGGGGGCTGCCTGAAAACCAGCGCTGTATAGCTGTACCTCATTGAGGTTGTGCTTATATCAGCTACAGCTGAGGCAGCTCCTATTGACAACTTCTATGTTATTATTTACTTCTTGTTTTGTGTCTTATTGTAAATTGTTTTATTTGTGTTATGTTAGCAATAAATCAATTATTTATCTATCTATCTATCTATCATAGAAAGAGTATTTTATTGTCACTAAAACACAAAATTCTATAACATTATGTGTTAATAATATTTGTAGATAAGATTTAATTTTAGATATGCGAGGGAATTTTTGTACAGTCTTTTCCGTTGTTCACGAGCGAAATTGAATTCTATTGCTAACTAGATAGCTTTGCAAATTATTTTATTTATTTATTAAAACTTTAATGCATAAATACATAGACAACCTCGGTGGTCTAGTGGTCTAGCACACCGCTTTACGTCCGATGGTCGCGGGTTCGATTCCTCGCACGGCACAAACATTTGTATTCATGAGTATGATTGTTTGTATCGGTCTGGGTGTTTTCTATGTATAATATGTATGTATTTACAAAAAAAATATCTATGTAAATACATAGATATTTTTTTTTTGTAAATACATACAAATGTATCAGTTATCTAGTACCCATAACACAAACTTTAGCTAGCTTAACTTGGGTCTAGATGGCGCTGTGTGAATTGTCCTGAGATTATTATTATTATTATTATAAATAAAGGTGCACATGACGGACTTAACACCTTGAGGCATTTTCTCCCAGTCATCCATTGGGCAAACAGAGATTCATGTAAGCGTTAAAAAAATGAATTTAAATCTAAAAAAAAAGAATCACTTTCAAAGAAGATCATCATCATCATCAGTGAGCTGATGATGATGATGATGATGATGGAAGCAAGGAAAATAACCCTAGACAATAAACACCGCGCTATTTAGACCCAAGTTAAGAGTTCTTGTATCATGAGTACTAGACAACTGATATAAATACTAAGTTTTAAGTTTTTTGTAAATGTGTAACATACATAGAAAACACCCAGACCGATACAAACTATCACACTCATGAATACAAATGCACCGTACGAGGAATCGAACCCGCAACCTACAGAAGTAAAGCGGCGTGATAAACCGCTACACCACCGAAGACATCTAGACACGCGGTAGCGTGTCAAGCCGAGATTCAAGTAACTGGCGAGCAGCACCGTGTGTATATTTACACGAACCTTTTGGAGCCACTTTTGACCCCCTCATAACTCAAAAACTCTTTCACATAAACCTGTCAAATTTGGTTCATATATTGAGACTTGCGAGATAAATATGTGTTCCAAATTTCATAAACATATCTCAAATGGTTATTTAGATATTAACGTCCAAATATCGTCATTTTTATCACTGATCAACTATAGATCAAAATTATAACCCACTTCCAGATGACCAAGGAAGTTCAAGTTTGGCATGCAGATAGGTAATTAATAAAGGAAAAAAATCTGAAACTGGTAAATTGTTATGAGAACTGGCCAAGTTAGACCTTAGGCTACAGTATATTATCGTAAGTTATAAGAAGAAATGATGTTTTATATTGTTATAAATACATTTCAGGACATACCATTGAACTTGGCACCCATTTAGATCTCACCTCTTTTGTCGTAGAAGTCAACAATCAAGGCATATATCATAATATTAAACTCTATCTATCATTTCACACTTATGTTTTTGATGGGATTGTACTTACGTGACTTGTACACAGATACCATATCGGTTTGGTATTACCAAGATTATCTATTACCTGTTCATTGACGGTGTCGCTGGTCGAGTGGTTTAGCCTACCGCCTTACTTCCGATGGTCACGGGTTCGATTCCTCACACAGTATTTCCTTGCCGTATAGCAAATACGAAAGAAAGAAACGTCCAGTTCGGATGGCGCTTCTGTTTGAGTATATCCACATCACCCTTCTTCTTCGTTTGCACTCCTATAGACTTTATATTATTTCGGAAGTTTACCTAAATCTTATTGGCAAATTCTGCCAAACACTAAAGAGTAAAACTCACCAGTTTGTTCGAGGAGTTGCATGCAGTAGAACTCATCTGGTGAGACACCCGAGTCAAGGGCAGCTCGCTGAGCACGCGCCGGGACATCGAAGCGGGGATACGCGAACATCGAACCCTATCCACCAACAAACAGACTCATGTACCCAAGTATATTAGAATAGAGTGTTAATCTAAATCTAAATCTAAATATAGTCTGTCTATCTATCGCTGATTTAATTAAATTTCTTAGGTCCTCACAACCCTATACCTATCCCTTTTCCTCTTTGGCGTTTACTGTATTGCTGTTGCGTTCGCACCGCCCTTGAGTGTCAAGGACGGATTTCAATTGTTGTTCGACCAATATCAATCAAAGTTCTCAATATTTATACTAGATGGCGCTAGGTGAAATGTACAACCCGCTATAGTTTCGTTTTCTTTGAATATGACCACTGTACGGAATTTTGTCATTTTTGCCCCCTCCGATCGATCCCCCGTACAATTCAAATGGGGATCGAAATTACGACGGCCTGAGCAGAGGTTCGAACCCCTAGTGGTGCCCTCAGACTAAAGTTGTATCCGTCAGGCAGGAGTTGGCCTTCAGCCGCTCCATAAGTCCTTCCTTGGTTTGGAGTGCCATCTGCACTCGCTCCCTATCGTCCGATGAAGCTGTAAAGGCCAGCTGCGGCCAACAGCATTAGAGTAGTCCGAATAAAAAAAAAAGCCACGGCATTCGGTCTTTGAGCACAGGATGTGCTGGTTGTATTTTAAATGCTAAAGTGAATTATGTTAGAGTATATACATAGTTAAATTAATGCTATATAGTTGTTATTTTATTATAATATATACATATATATATATATATATATATATATATATACTTTTACTAGTACATAGAGTTGCAATATCTTACACTAGCACTGTACCAACTTTTGTATTCATGAATATGGTTTATTAGAATAGTCCGAAAAAAAAATGTAATTTTTTAGTTCGATTTATACCCGAATGTAACTTTGTTTACTATCCAATTAGGTGTTGTTTGATTTCTTGGCCTCGAGTAAAACAATTGTGCAAAGAATTGAACTAAGTTTATTGATTAGTCGTCATTTGACTGCGCCGGATTCTAACAGCATATCATAATTATTAATTTCTCTCCGCTAACCGCTGTAATTGAAAACCACCGCGTGGGAACGCCATCTTATATATAGTGCATACTGTTTTTATAATAAACTTTACGGACAAAATATCTTTTCGTCCAAATTTCCGCAGTGTCTCAAGACGAAGGTTTACGAACAATGTGTGTTGCCAGTGATGACTTACGGAACAGAGACGTGGTCGCTAACTATGGGCTCCATCAACAAGCTCAGAGTCACTCAGAGGGCAATGGAGAGGGCTATGCTCAGAGTTACTCTGCGTGATCGAATCAGAAATGAGGAGATCCGCAGAAGAACCAGAGTGACCGACATAGCCCGAAGAATTGCGACTCTGAAGTGGCAATGGGCAGGGCACATAGCTCGTAGGACAGATGGCCGTTGGAGCAGTAAAGTCCTCGAGTGGCGACCACGGACCGGACGACGCAGCGTGGGAAGGCCTCCAGCAATGTGGACCTACGATCTGGTCAAGATCGCTGGAAGGCATTGGATGCGAGCAGCGCGGGACCGATCGTCGTGGAGATCTTTGGGGGAGGCCTATGTCCAGCAGTGGACGTCTTCCGGGCTGCTATGATGATGATGATGATGATGATTACGGACAAATAAGTGTATAGAGTGTTTTGGTGATTATTGGCCAGCCGTCTACCTAGCTGAATGGCAAGAAAACCACGGAAGACCAGCAGCAAATTCAAGGTCAGTGGACGCCGCCCCGCTTTTGGTCCTTAGTCCTCATAATTACGCAACCTGGTCCTTCGAATTAAATAGAATCAGCACCTAATAGACAGGTACAGTTCCAGTAAAAAAAATGAAGAGTATTTTACTCCGCACCCCGTTGCCCCAGTATATTGTCTATTTTAATTGTTTCTTTTGTTCTGTAATTGGTGCAATGAAGAGTATAAATAAAAATAAAATAAATAAATAATTATTGGTCAACTCACATCGATGGGATTGCAGGAATATCCAGGAATGGTGTTGAAAACTTGGTAAGCAGCGGAGGTCCTCTCGCACAAAGTACGATGTATGGCTGAGCGTTCTATATTGAACTGCTCGTAGGACGCTGACCCTGGGGCTGGGGGACTCATCTGTAAGGGCATAAGTATTTTTAATTGTTATATAGCTAAATTTAGCGTAACTTAAATATATCATTTCATTACAGAGTGTAAAACAAAGGGCTGGGATACTCATCTGTAAGGGAATTAGTATTTTTAATTGTTATATAGCTAAATTTAGCGTAACTTAAATATATCATTTCATTACATAGTGTAAAACAAAGGGCTGGGATACTCATCTGTAAGGGAATTAGTATTTTTAATTGTTATATAGCTAAATTTAGCGTAACTTAAATATATCATTTCATTACATAGTATAAAACAAAGTCGCTGTCGCTGTCTGTCCGTCCCTATGTATGCTTAAATCTTTAAAACTACGCAATGGATTTTGAAACGGTTTGTTTTTAATAGATAGAGTGATTCAAGAGGAAGGTCTATATATATAATATATATACACCCGTGCGAAGCCGGGGCAACTAGCTAGTAATATTATAAACGCGAATGTTTGTGAGTATGTATGTTTGTTACTCTTTCACGCAAAAACTACTGAACGGATTTTGATGCAACTTTCTCTTCTCTCTCTTTCAGCATATATTTCCACTTCAGTCTGTCTGTGGCATGTCTTGACCAGGTCCTGCCGTCTTCCTGATGTCATCAGACCATCTGGCAGTTGGTCTGTCTACGCTTCTGCTTCCCAGTCGCCACATTAGGGATCTGTATGTCCATCTATCGTCTTTGCTTCGGCATACATGACTATGATGCAACTTTATAGTTAGAGTTTATCTATGCGTCAGAATAACACATGTTAGGGAAAATACTCTCTGCTACCAAAATGTTAGGGAAACTATGTATATATATAGGGAAAAATATGTGTGGAAACGTCTGTCACGTACCTGTATGGTTCTGCGGATTTCTTGGGCTTCAGGGTCTCGAAAGTATCTTCGCTAGCTTTCCAGTTTCACAGTAGGTTTAACACAGTTCTAATTTATTTTAATTCACAACACAATGCGCGCGCGCGTCAAGGCCGCTGTACGGTCAGTTCAGTACTGTAGGTAAGGGAGGGGAACAGAAACCGCGGGAACACAAACTAACGGACTCTAATATAATAATCTGTGCTTACAATATAATAATGCTTCTAATATAATAATGTGTGATGGTACAGGGTAGATTTTGAACAACACATAAACTATATTTATTATTGAAATTTAACGTGGGTGAAACCGCGGGCACGTATATTCACTTAAGTATATTATGCATAAAACGGCGGATCCAGGGGGGGTCATGGGAGTCATGACCCCCCCCCCCTGAGCTGGTTCCAGGACTTACTGGACTACTAATTAAACATAATGATTTTATTTATAAATTTTTAGTCAACATACAGATTTATTGTAACAATTATACATACCTTCAATACTTAATTAATTTAATCTTATATATAAAATTCTGGTGTCACAGTTTTCGTTCCCATACTCCTCCGAAACGGCTTGACCGATTGATTAATTTATATGGCAAAACAACGTTTGCCGGGACAGCTATTATAATTTAATAACTTTGTACATTAATAAAATACCTACTTTTTACTTGTATCTATTCTTATTAAAATTAAATTATAAGTTCTTGCTTTGACCACGACTATGTGACCCCCTCCTGGCGCCATAGCTGGGTCCGCCCTTGTATGCATATATAGTCCGATTTATATTGAAGAACCCTTCACGTATGTGAAACCCTCTCGTCCACCTCTCGTCAATCAAGCAACCCTTTCACTGATTTAGGTAATCCATAAACCACGATAAAAATTCATAGCCCTCAGCCATCTTTTAAATTGAATCTTTAATGTGGTAACTATTAAAGTTCTGAAAAAGTCAATAGGTCTTTTATGGGAATAGGTATAAATTAACTATAAGATACCAAAGGATATATTGGAATTATCTATAAATAAATTCAAAACATCTGTTAAATCATATTTACTGAGCAAAGCCTATTACTCACTAAACGATTACTTAAATGACGAGCGTGCATGGCAATAGGTGTTCATGGACGGGATTTTCATTTAATGTTAGACATAGATACCTATATAAATACCTATGCATTGTAAATAAACTGGCTTTAAAAAAAAAGTAATTTGATTGAGTTTCTTGCCAGTTCTTCTCAGTTCCGACTAATCTCTGAAACGGCTGGACCAATTTTGGCGGGAGGTAGCTTTATTGGTAGCTGATGTAATAAGGAGTAACTTAGGTTACCTTTATTTTAGAAAAATAAAGTTGAATTCCACGTGGACGAAATCGCGTGAACAGCTAGTACAGTAAAAAAATTTTAAAGTTATGAAGGAGATATAACGGTCTATAACTCAGAGGGGGCAGTGAGTACACCCTCTCTATTAGAGGGAAGGGGATTGTTAGTAATGGGGACTCATAACCTGATTACTAGCAATGTATGTCAGATTGACCTCCACGCGGTTCCCCTGGCAACCATCCTGATAAATACCTAGTGAATTCACGATGGTCTAACTGACCTGGCCTCATGCTCATCTTATCATCCTCCACTGGTGCCCCGCCAGCGTATACCGATAGCGCAGGCGGGTGACCCATTCCATTATCATCCATAAAAAGTACACCCAATTCCATATTGTAATTGATAATAAACACAAAAAAATATGTGAAATAGCTCGAAATCGAAAGGAGTTTTTAAAATAACATATTTAAAAATTCAAAATAATTAATAAGTTGAAAAAAAGAAAATTTTATGGAACAATATTCATGGCCAGACTATAAACTTATAAACTTACAACGCAGTCAAGAACACACTGCCCCAGCACGGTGGGGCACTGCATGACCGCGCGAGAGGCTCTCAACGCCGCCAGCGCTTCGGGCCGCAGCCCTACCAGCTCTACGAAGGCGGCCCGCAGCCCGCACTCCGCCGCCCAGCCCTTCGAGCAGGTCGCGAAGCTCGCCAACTCCATTTGGGAGTACGGGGCACCCATCTCAAACATCACCTGCAACGATTATAATCTTGTTAGAAAAATTTCCTAAGAATCGTTTAGAAAAAAATGGATAAGTGACTTAAATGTCTTTCAGCTGGAATTTCCTTTAATACAAAAAGAATAGAACAGAATAGAAAATCCTTTATTCAAATAAACTTAATTTAAGCACTCTTGAATACTCATTACATTTTTTTTAATCTACCGCTCATTCGGAAAGCTGTCTCATCACAAGAAGAATAAGCAAGAAACTTGTGTGTTGCTCTTTTAAACAATCCTTGTAAGTTTACATTTGCAAGTCGAAACGTGTGAATACAAACTACCAACCAGCACTAATTTATTAGAGTCAAATGTAGACACAATAAGATTAAATCTGTCGTAGGATAAGAGTAGACCAGTCCCTACAAGCAGCACTCGTTCACGAGTATGACGGATGAGCCAGTCATCACTGCGCTCGACTATACTGAAAGGTACACTGGAATTACTTTTATATAAATTTGAATTTAAATGTATGACTCTGTATTATTGTAAACATGTACAACATTTATTTGAAAAGAATACGAGCTGAGTTTCTTGTCAGTTGTTCTCATCTCGAAATCATTCCGAACTGACGGTAGATTTGACATATCATAAGAGTCTGTAATAGACCTACATGAATAATCATATTTTGAATTTGAATTGAATAAATTAAAAACATCTGTTAAATCATATTTACTGAGCAAAGCCTATTTATTATTCACTAAACGATTACTTGAATATAAAACGTAAATAAACTGGCTTTAAAAAAGAAATTCTATTAAGTTTCTTGCCAGTTCATCTCAATTGAATCTGTACACTGAACTGGACGGTAGGAAAAAAATATTAATACAAAAACTTAACATTCATAAGCGGCTAAAATGTCCTACATGAATAAATATTTTTTTATATGAATTGAATATTTTTACTCTGAATTTTTAACTAATAATATACTCCATAGACAACTATTTATGCTCTCTTTACTTATATTATCTACTACCTGCACCTGCGACTTCGTCCGCGTGGAATTTAACTTTATTTTTCTAAAATAAAAGTAGCCTAAGTTACTCCTTATTACATTAGCTACCTGCCAAAAAAAATCCCATCAAAATCGGCCCAGACATTACAGAGATTACCCGGAACAACAACAAATAGACAGAGAGACAGACAGACAAAAATTTTAAAAAGTGGTCTTTTGGTGTATTACCTTATTTATATTCATATGCGTGTAGTAAAAAACGGTTATTTCAATATTACAAACAGACACTCCAATTTTATTTATATGTATAGATGTATAGATTAAGAAAGAAAGAAAGCCAAAAAACAGCAATATTCATAATATTAATACTAGATTTAAAGACAAACTTGCTGTCCCCAAGTATCGTTTAAAAAAAGTTAATAGGTCTTTTATGGGAATAGGTATAAAAATTTACATAAGATATTACATCACAATAAGATACCAAAGGATATACTGGAATTACCCTTAAATAAATTCAAAACATCTGTTAAATCATATTTACTGAGCAAAGCCTATTACTCACTAAACGATTACTTGAATGACGAGCGTGCATGGCAATAGTTGTTCATGCACTGAATTTTCATTTACCTATATAAATATACATTGTAAATAAACTGGCTTTAAAAAAAAAAAGTAATTCAATTGAGTTTCCTGCCAGTTCTTCTCAATTGGATCTATATACCGAACTGGACGGTAGGGAAAAAAAATAAAATTAGAATGTAAAAATTTGACGTTCATAAGCGGCTAAAATGTCCTACATGAATAAATGATTTTTTAATTTGAATTTAAAGAAAGAAAGAAAGAAAGAAAGAAAGGAATAAAGAAAGAAAGAAAGAAAGAAAGAAAGAAAGAAAGAAAGAAAGAAAGAAAGAAAGAAAGAAAGAAAGAAAAATATTTTATTCAGTGCAATGTAAATAATACAATATAAAGATATCTAATATAACATGCGGCATCCCTACTGGTGACGGGGTGCCGCGGGCGGCCGGTCCACATGGCACAGAGTGATAACAATATTAACCCCTCAGCCTCGGGCTACAAAACAATCAAACCGAAACTAATATTTACTGATTACACAAACATTCATAGCATACAGGAAATTATACAATAATCCATGCAAATATCGTGTTTATAAAATTCAGAAGTATTTGAAGGAAGACGAATGCTAGTAATGGGGTCTAGTGTCCCATAGCTAGCAATGTACCATGTCAGGGCGACCTCCATGCGGTTCCCCCTGGAAACCATCGCGATAAATTCCTAGTAAATTTGCCACCATAGGCTAACTGACCTGACCTCATGCTCACCTTATCATCCTCCACTGCTGCCCCGTCAGCGTAAACCTTTAGCGCAGGCGGGTGCACCATTCCATTATCATCCATAAAAAAACATTTAGAAATATTTGGGGGAAAGGGATTGCCAGTAATGGGATCTAGTGTCCCATAGCTAGCAATGTACCATGTCAGGTCGACCTCCACGCGGTTCCCGCTGGAAACCAACGTGGTTAATTCCTGGTTAATTAATCACAATGGCCAAACTGACCTGACCTCATGCTCACCTTATCATCCTCCACTGGTGCCCCGCCAGCGTAAACCTTTAGCGCAGGCGGGTGCACCATTCCATTATGATCCATAAAAAAAAATCAGAAAATTTTGGGGAAAGGCGAATACTAGTTGGGTCTAGTGTCCCCATTGCTAGCTATACTTTCACCCCCGTATTACCCACTTAGAGAACTAAAAATTCATTACTCCACTGAGTATATCGTAAAATAAACTAATTTACTAAAATTTATGCATAATTATAACTTCAGAGCCTGACGGTGATGAAGTTTATGAAATGTAAATTATATTTCATATATGTACATATACATATATGAACATATGAACCCTCGTCCTGTCTATACTGACCTCAATACAATCGGGATGCTGTTTGGTATTAAACACGATATAAAAGCGTCTACACATGACTCTAAAATCAGGACAAGTTATGGAGACGCCTTTAGAAAGTATACACTCTATCCTGAAGAAATAATAATAATAATAATAACTGTAAAATAAAAATATGACTATTCAAAAGTGCTTGTAAAGAGTTTATTTGAATAAAGATTATTTCTATTTCTATTTCTTGGTCTTGTCTACGATGACCTCAATACAATCTGGATGCTCATTAATATTAAACGCGGTATAAAAGCGTCTACACATGACTCTAAAATCAGGACAAGTTATGGAAAATATACATCTTATCTTGAGGAGATAATAATAATAATTATTATTATTGTTGTTATTATCTCATTCACTCAGCTTTGATGGTTACTATTATTATTATTTTATTATTATTGCGCACAGCTAAACAAAGTATAATAAAAGTATTTTACAAAAGGTCTTATCGCTATTAGCAATAACTTACAGACAACCTGGTTTGACAGCGAGTATTTACATAGAGAGAGAAAGTAGCAGGCGAACACTAGTTTCTATATTTATTACACTTCTAAATAAACATACAGAGAAGCAAAAACCATTGCTTTTAAGAATATCCTTCAATTCTTGTCCCTAACGGATCTAGGTAGCGAACTCTGTAAAAGTGCGAGCACAATAGATCTATGTAGGTTGCAGTTCTACAAGATCTAAAGTACCTAGGAGTAACCCAAACTTGTTAATTAAAATAACTAGACACTTCCATGATTATACACTTATAGATAAACATACAGAGAGATAAAAACCATCGCTTCTAAGAATATCCTTCAATTCTTGTCCCTAACGGGTCTAGGTAGCGAACTCTGAAAAAGGGCGAGAACAATAAATCTATGTAGGTCGCAGTATTATAGGTCTTAGCACCAGACAATAGTCCAAACAACCCAATAAAAAAACAAAATTTTACGCTCAGCACAACTGCTCCGAAATTGTCCCGATTTTAGTGTCATGTGTAGATCGTCTTACATGGATCAAGTGTGGTGTTGGTTCTATTAATTCACTGAACCGTAAAATTGTGACATACAAACACACTTATCCATTCAAAACAGAAACTAGGCTGTAAAATATAAATATTTTGACGGATCCGTGGAATAAAAACTAGGTGTGGCCCATGGTTTCACCCGCCGTATAGTGTCATATCCCCCGGCCGCTTTATTACGTTCCCGCTTACGCTTAGTGTTAGCTTGTAGAAAAATTTATATATTAAACTAGTTACTCGCTGCGGCTTCGCCCGGGTGTACATGTATATATATAAGCCTTCCTCTAGAATCACTTCATATATTTAAAAAAACTGCTTCAAAATCCGTTGCGTAGTTTTAAAGATTTAGGCATATATAGGGACAGACAGCGACAGCGACTTTGTTTTATACTATGTAATGATAATGATAGTGATGCTTATAATAATGATGATAATGATAATGATGTTAATGATAATGATGTTAATGATAATTGTGTTAATGATAATGATGCTAATGATAATGATGTTAATGATAAAGTAAAGTCGTACGTGGTACTAGTATGCGTTGTTTCAGTGAGCCGGTGAAATCACGTAAATTCATATTATATTCGTAATTGCAATGATAACCATCGGCCTGCGCGTGACAGTCTCATTACAATGTTCATGCATATATAATTTGCTGAAGGGAATTAGTTGTAATTTTGTCTTTCTATAACATACATTATATATCTTATTTTTATTATAAATACTACAATATACGAGTAACCAGTTCTTTATATTTTTAGGGTTCCAAACTGAAATAATAATAGATTATTATTATTATTACATATATATATATATATTTATTATATCTCCCTTTTTGCGGGGGTAATATATTCAAACACGCGGGCCTTAGCCAAGCATGGATGAGTTATGTGATGAAGATAGAAATTTTCTGACTATTCGGCATGTGTTTAGTATGACGGCTTTTTGTAATATGTATTTAATGCCCAATTTACACTCAGCCCGAGTGGGCAGGGAAGTGAGTAGCGCGAGAGTGTAAACACGAGTGGAAACACTTCCCATGCCATTGGCGCTGCCACTCGCGCTGCCCGGCGCTCCCTCGATTGTCGGTTTTTCGTGCGCGAGTCAAAGGACTGGCAGCGCGAGTGGCAGCGTGTTTTTACATTCAGCCTTCTCTCTCAGTTGTCGCCCGGCAATATTTCCGGCAGCGCGAGTGGCAGGGGAAGCCGCTGAATGTAAACTTAGCATCATGTTAAGATGGTAGAGAGTGAAGAGACATAATATATAATTTTGTTTTTGTAGTTTTGATTATAGAATACAAGAAAACTTTAAATATATTAATATCAAAAGAGTTTCTCAACATATACTAGCTCACCCGCGCGACTTCGTCTACATCACATTTATCATTATATATCGCCCAATAGACATGTTTTTTTAAATTATAGCCTACTACACGCCCCGGCATCGCACGGGTGATACTAAACCTAAATGCCAATAGCGCCGCACCACTACGTCCCTGCATTTTAAATCTGTAATATCTTCGGAAATATTCATTTAAATTACTTGCTGTAAATGGCCATCACAGCCCAGACACAAAGCTGAGTGGAAACCAATTTGGTCGCAGCTATATTTTTAAAATAATTTGTTATAATTTTTGTAAAATGTTGTCTCATTGTTTTGTATGCGCCAAATAAATATATTTTTCTTTCTTTCTATTGATCTATATTAAATGTACATTTATTTTTTAATTGGATAAAAATTAATGCTGTATTGCTTCGTAAATAAGCCATTTTTTCCTGTAAAATGTATTTAAAAATTTTTTACTGTGGTTTATCCTTAAGAGATAGACATATACCATCGCGGACATTTTTGTTGACCTTCTCAAGCTGTACAATACTGTAGTACATTATTTTGATTTATCTCGTGGGGTTTAACCAGCATTTGCAATTTAAGCGCAAAAAAGTGTGTATCTTAAAGACATCACATTAGAAATCTCACCTCAGTTATCAGTGTTTCTCTACAGTAGTATGCATGTATTATACATATAAACCTTCCTCTTGAATCACTCTATCTATTAAAAAAACCGCTTCAAATTAAAAAATCATTTATTCAAGTAGGACATTTTAGCCGCTTATGAACGTCAAGTTTTTACATTATATTTTTTTTCCCTACCGTCCAGTTCGGTATATAGATCCAATTGAGAAGAAACTCAATTGAATTACTTTTTTTAAAAGCCAGTTTATTTACAATGCATAGGTATTTATATAGGTGTCTATATCTAACATTAAATGAAAATCCCGAACATGAAAACTATTGCCATGCACGCTCGTCATTCAAGTAATCGTTTAGTGAGTAATAGGCTTTGCTCAGTAAATATGATTTAACAGATGTTTTGAATTTATTTAAGGGTAATTCCAATATATCTTCAAAATCCGTTGCGCGATTTTAAAGATTTAACCATACATAGGGACAGACCGCGTCACCGACTTTGTTTTATACTATATAGTGGTAGTGATAATGATTATAGTGATAGTGATTATGTGTTATTCTGATGTCACTACGTTACTATAAAGTTTCATCAAAATGCGTACAGTAGTTTTTGCATGAACAAACATCCATCCAAACTTTCGCGTTTATAATATTAGTAACTTTTACTTGATTACGACTTTAATTAACAACGCCCATTCCGCACGGATATATGTAAACTCCATCATACACGTAATCTCGTTAGAGTTTGGTAGGCTTTCAAGTTTGTAGCGGAAGCATATACACAGACAGATGGGGGACTCGATTTGTCAATACAAAGATTCAAGTTCAAATTCAAAATATCTTTATTCATGTAGGTCTATTGCAGACTCTTAAATATCTATTAAGTGCGTAGCGGTTTCTATGTTGATTGTCGCATGCCTAATCCTTGTTGTTAATTAAATATAAGTAAATCAATATTTATTTAAAAGTTCAACACACAAGTTTCTTGCTTATTCTCCTTGTAATGAATCTGCATTCCGAATAAGCGGTAGAATAAAAAAGTCTGTCTCTGTCTCTGTCTCTGTCTCTGTCTCTGTCTCTGTCTCTGTCTCTGTCTCTGTCTCTGTCTCTGTCTCTGTCTCTGTCTCTGTCTCTGTCTCTGTCTCTGTCTCTGTCTCTGTCTCTGTCTCTGTCTCTGTCTCTGTCTCTGTCTCTGTCTCTGTCTCTGTCTCTGTCTCTGTCTCTGTCTCTGTCTCTGTCTCTGTCTCTGTCTCTGTCTCTGTCTCTGTCTCTGTCTCTGTCTCTGTCTCTGTCTCTGTCTCTGTCTCTGTCTCTGTCTCTGTCTCTGTCTCTGTCTCTGTCTCTGTCTCTGTCTCTGTCTCTGTCTCTGTCTCTGTCTCTGTCTCTGTCTCTGTCTCTGTCTCTGTCTCTGTCTCTGTCTCTGTCTCTGTCTCTGTCTCTGTCTCTGTCTCTGTCTCTGTCTCTGTCTCTGTCTCTGTCTCTGTCTCTGTCTCTGTCTCTGTCTCTGTCTCTGTCTCTGTCTCTGTCTCTGTCTCTGTCTCTGTCTCTGTCTCTGTCTCTGTCTCTGTCTCTGTCTCTGTCTCTGTCTCTGTCTCTGTCTCTGTCTCTGTCTCTGTCTCTGTCTCTGTCTCTGTCTCTGTCTCTGTCTCTGTCTCTGTCTCTGTCTCTGTTTCTGTCTCTGTCTCTGTCTCTGTCTCTGTCTCTATTACTATTTCTTATCAAATCAAATCTACCGTCAGCTCTATCTCTCCGACTCTGATGATGTTGATCATGATGATAGGATAACATATCGTCCCATAGTCTAATAGGGCAGAACATGCGAGAGTTTGTATTATTTACGTACCTTTTTGAAGGAGTAGAACGGCTTGCTGACTATGTTCTCCTGGTAGACCTCGTCTGCGATTAGGAACAAGCTGTGCTCGTAAGCGAATCTGATCACTTCTTCTATGTTCTGTCGGTCTAGTACCTGCAGCAAGAATTATGAATCAATTTAGCAATTTTTTTACATCTATAAGAACATGAATTGAGGCCTATAGTTCTATTTATACATATAAATAAAATTGGAGTATCTGTTTGTAATATTGAAATAACCGTTTTTTATTACAGGCGTTTAAATACAGTACAAACACCAAAACAACATTTTTTGCCTGTCAGTTAGTTTGTTCCGGCTAATCTCTGAAACGGTTGGACCGATTTTGACGGGACTTTTTTTGGCAGGTAGCTGATGTAATAAGGAGTAACTTAGGCTACATTTTAGAAAAATAAAGTTAAATCCACGCGAACGAAGTCACTGGTACAGCTAGTTGAAAATATAATTTACAAACAGCACTTTGGAAGCCCTACTAAATGCATGCGTTGCTATTCCTGAAGACAAAGATGGTTCATGAATGGCTCATGATGAAGAGGGACGTAATGTTGAACGGTTACTTCAATATTACAAACAGACACTCCAATTTTACTTATATGTATAGATAAAAATAATATATGCTCAGGTATCGTAAATTACACATTGAATAAATAATATGTTTTAATTTGATTTGAATAAAATATTCGCACAGATTCGAGTGTAATCGTTACCAGCCAGGATATACTGTTTTATACTATGTAATGATTGTATTATTTGTGTTATGTTGGCAATAAATTAATTATCTACCTATATATCTATTTTAACAATTGAAATGTGACCAAAATTAGAACAGAACAGGATAGGACAGGACAGGACAGGTCAGGCCAGGATATGACAGGACAGGACAGGACAGGACAGGACAGGACAGGACAGGACAGGACAGGACAGGACAGGACAGGACAGGACAGGACAGGACAGAACAGAATAGAATAATATTTATTACTATCACACATCACAACACAACAATAACGATGCTCAAAACAGCATATAAATTATTATCTTATATATAAAATTCTCGTGTCACAGTTTTCGTTCCCATACTCCTCCGAGACGGCTTAACCGATTCTCATGTAATTTTGTGAGCCCATTGAGTAGATCTGAGAATCGGCCAACATCTATTTTTCATCCCCCTAAATGTTAGGGGTAGTCCACCCCTAATTTTTTTTTTAAGGCAAAACAACGTTGCCGAGACAGCTAGTAACATATAAATAGAAATAATAAATTCAATACAAATCATTAAGAGAAAAAAAAGCAAGAAACTTACATAAAAATTACTGAAAGTAGTGAAGTGAAAAAAAAAAAATTATAATTAGATACAAGTTAGTAGTTATGTAAAAACAATTACCTGTCCTGTTGGATTCCCTGGGTTGATGACAACCAGGGCGCGGACATGCGCAGTCTCACTGGCTACCGTCCAGCTCCTCTGCAGCTCGCGAGGCTGTAGCGCCCACTGGTTCTCCTCGTCGAGGTAGTAGTCCGCCTGCTGAAGGCCCAGCTCGGACAGGGTACCAGAGAACAGAGGGTACTGGGGAATTGGGATCATCACCGCTGCAAGAAATGCACCCCATAAGTTTTTTATGCTTGCATGCGTGCGTGTAGGGACTGGTCTGCTCTTATCACTACGACTGATTTAATCTTATTGTGTTTTTATATTTGAACCTAAATAAATTAGTGCTGGTTGGTAGTTTGTATTCACACGTTTCGACTTGTAAATGTGAACTTACAAGGATTGTTTAAAAGAGCAACACACAAGTTTCTTGCTTATTCTTCTTGTGATGAGACAGCTTTCCGAATAAGCGGTAGATTTAAAAAAAATGTTGACTATTCAAAAGTGCTTAAATTAAGTTTATTTGAATAAATGATTTTCTATTCTATTCTATTAATTTCATAACGCACGACGGCCTCGGTGGTCTAGCGGTTTACCATATCGCTTGACTTCCGATGGTCGCGGGTTCGATTCCTCGCACGATGCATATTTGTATTCATGAGTTTAATTGTTTATATCGCTCTGGTTGTTTTCTATGTATATTATGAATGTATTTAAAAAAGTAAGTATTTATGTAAATTGCTTAGTAGCCAAGCTCTGCTAACAGTGGGACTAAATTGTCCAGGATTATTTATTTTACATTTTAGCCGCTTATGAACGTAAAGTTTTCGTACCGTTCAGTATATAGATCCAATTGAGAAGAACTGTCAAGAAACTCAATTGAATTTTTTTTTAAAGCCAGTTTATTTACAATGTATATTTATATAGGGGTCTATATCTAAAGTTAAATGAAAATCCCGTGCATGAACATGCCATGTGCCCGTGCAACTATTGCCATGCACAGTCGTCATTTAAGTAATCGTTTAGTGAATAATATTCCAAATTCAAATTCAAATTCAAAAATCATTTATTCATGTAGGACATTTTAGCCGCTTATGAACCTCAAGTTTTTACTTTATAATTTTGTTTCCCTACCGTATATTCGATATATAGATCCAATTGAGAAGAACTGTCAAGAAACTCAATTGAATTACTTTTTTTTTAAAATCCAGTTTATATACAATGCATAGGTATTTATATAGGTGTCTATGTCTAACATTAAATGAAAATCCCGAACATGAAAACTATTGCCATGCACGCTCGTCATTCAAGTAATCGTTTAGTGAGTAATATGCTTTGTTCAGAATTTTAACTACACTAACTTTTAATTCTGGGGCAGAATGGAGTTCACGAGGTCAGCTAATATATATAGGACCAATATATATATCTTTCTTTATTTCTTTCAATAGAGAAGGCCGTAACGCATCCAGCTGTGGTCAGATTTCCGCAATAATTTGCGATCTCACACATACTAATGGTAACTGTATTAAACACTCGCTGTTCTCGCGACTTCATCCACGAGAAATTTAACTTTATTTTCTAAAATAAAAGTAGCCTAAGTTACTCCTTATTAAATCAGCTATCTGCCAAAAAAAGTCCCATCAAAATCGGTCCAGCCATTTCAGTGATTAGCCGGAACAAACAGACAGACAGACAAAAATTGTAAACATTGTGATTTTGGTGTATACACCGTATTTATATTCATATGCATGTAGTAAAAAACTGTTATTTCAATATTACAAACAGACACTCTAATTTTATTTATGTATATAGATATACTCGGAAAGTTGTATATATTTTCATAATAATATCAGATGAATGAAACATGTGAATTACTAAATTAAATATATGGAATTTAAGTTTTTTTTGTAACAGTTTTTTACTACATGCATGTGAATATAAATAATATTCATATGCATGTAGTAAAAAACTGTTATTTCAATATTACAAACAGACACTACAATTTTATTTAGAGTTATAGATAATACAAATCCATAGAGTAATTTTAATTTTTTTTTCTCCTATCTCTAAATAAAATTACCTAAACTTTAATTGAATATCTATATGTATTGTTTTTAGCTATTTATAACAACTGGTGTTGTACCAGAGTTTGTCCTTAAGCTACCAGCTTCATAAGGTAAGGTAATCCAACGATTTGTGTGTGTGTACTCTCCACTTGGTTGTTTCCTAAATTAATATTTGCCCCGGGACCCGCCCGGGACGGTAACAAGTTCATGTGGCGGTGGACTTAACTGTCAATTTGGTATTGCCACTGAAAATAACCCTTGTTACATTAGAACTTGCTAATAACATTAAACAACGGCGTGTAACAGAATATCGAGCAACTTTTCGGAAGTACGGCTTACTAGCTATGTCCTCCTGGTACTTTTTACTTAAATCTACCTAAGTTGGTTAAGTTGTATGAGTATTATGGTTAAGTTGTATGATAGTGTATTATTTGGATACTTATAAATAAATTAGTTTTCATTAAATGCGAATATTATTCCTTTGCAAAAAAGCTTACTATAAAATTGAAGAATTCGTTAACGATAATAATGTTTTTATAGAAAAACTTTAAATCTATAGCACTGACAATATTATCTGATTACAAGCGACTTCTATGTTGATTATCGCATGCCTCTTACTTGTTATACTGTAATAATTTATATAAAAAAAACCATCTATTAAAAAGAGCAACACACAAGTTTCTTGCTCATTCTTCTTGTGATGAATCTGCATTCCGAATGAGTGGTAAAATCAAAATATGACTATTCAAAAGTGCTTGTAATGAGTTTATTTGAATAAAGATTATTTCTTATTTGTATTGTTTTATTTTTATAACTGTTCCCGCGATTTTTGCCGCGTGGAAGTTAACTTTATTTCTCTAAAATAAAAGTAGCCTAAGTTACTCCTTATTACATCAGCTACCTGCTAAAAAAATTGTAAAGGGTAAAATTTTTACAAACATTGAATGTCATATTTAATCAACAGCCTAAAAAATAGGTTTCAACCATAGAATCTTTCATCTCCCGTTTCAACCTCTTACAACCCTTCTTTAGCATTAAAAAGTAGACTACGTCGTTCCTCCGTATCTAGGCAATCTGTGTACCAAATTTCATTTAAAACGGTTCAGTAACTTTTGCGTGAAGGCGCGACAGACAAACAGACAGAGTTACTTTCGCATTTATAATTATAAAGATTGGTTGTTACATAAATGTAATCAATTTACAAAATAGTCTTAACAAAAAAATTTTGAAAAAATTTCATCTGCGTTTCGCTGCCCCTTGAAAAGGGTTCCCGTTAACTCTCAGTTGTTTTTTTTTTCAGACTACTCTAATGCTGTTGGCCGCAGCTGGCCTTTACAGCTTCACCGAACGATAGCGGCGAGTGCAGATGGCACTCCAAACTAAGGAAGGACTTATGGAGCGGCTGGAGGCCAACTCCCGCCTGACGGATACGACTTTAGTCTGAAGTCACCGCTAGGGGTTTGAACCTCAGCTCCGGCGTCGTAATTTCGATCCCCAATTGAATTGGACGGGCGATCGATTGTAAGTATACACTATTAATAGTTCCCAACTGGATATCCATTTAGGTATAACCTATACAGCGTAGGCAGGTTACCTACTTGTGACCTTTCTGTATACAGACCTTTCTGCCTACACAAAGTACGCAATCAATACTCGATTAAAAATAAATCAGATACGGGGGCGAGTATACATGCAAACTTGTTACAACTTTGAAATTATTATCTGCTTCTTCCTTATCCCATTTATTTGTGGTCGTAATATGTTTTTCTCTTCCATTCATCCCTGTTCGCAGTCATCTCGTTATTTACTCCCTTTCTTATCGTATCTTTCACACAGTCCATCCATCTCTTTTTCGGCCTTCCTCTGCCCTTATAACCATAAAAAATAAATCAGATACGGGGGCGAGTATACATGCAAACTTGTTACAACTTTGAAATGATTATCTGCTTCTTCCTTATCCCATTTATTTGTGGTCGTAATATGTTTTTCTCTTCCATTCATCCCTGTTCGCAGTCATCTCGTTATTTACTTCCTTTCTTACCACATCTTTCACACAGTCCATCCATCTCTTTTTCGGCCTTCCTCTACCCTTATAACAATCATATGTGACACCTTCCTTAAAATATTATCTTCATTTCTAATAAGCACTGCCAAAGAGTGGATCACACTTCCAGGTTTTGTGTTCCCGGAGAAATACAACCCCTAATTCTTCAAGTCTATGGTAAATAGATATCTTCTGGGTAAGCGCGCTATATCCTAGGTCTTGCCATCATTTACCATCAGATGAGGTAAGAACAAGCATAATCACATTATTAATAAAAAATAAAGATTTCATGAGGACGGATATGTATGTACATAGTATAAAACAAAGTCGCCGCTGTCTGTTAACTTATATTTTAAATTACGCAATGGATTTTAATACAGTAATAGATAGAGTAATTCAAGAGGAGAGTTTATATATATAATATATGCATGTTGTAGTACAGAACAAGCGGATAAAATATAAGATTTGCTGTACAACATTTATGTACGTTATATATTTAAATATTATTAATAAATTTTATTATAATAAATATCTCATTACATAGCAATATACCTACTTAAATAATATACAGAATATACTAAATACATACATTAATTAAAATTGCATTTATCTTTACATACATTTTCATACCTATTTATAAAATGGTCTTAATTTTAACGTTTTATTTTCTTTAGTAATCTTTACGTACGCTCTCTCGTGTGTGGTGGCCCCACTGAAAATCAGCGCTGTGGTATATATATACTGCAGTATAAATGCTGAGTGGGAGTCACATTCAGCGTTACTAGTATGTTTTAGCTTTTAGCTTTTAAGTTGTACATATAGTATATAAGATAGATAGCATCTAAGAATACTGTAATGCTGAATAAATGTCTTTATTATTATTATTATTATTATAAATCCGTGTAAAGTCGGAACGAGTAATATATAGTAACTATATACTAACAAATGATGCATATGACTGCGTGTACATTTGACCACGCAATATATATCTATTATTGCTGAATTATATTGATGTGAAACCAAAAGACAATGAAATAACACGTGCATGTGGCGCCATCTATTATTTTACTAGTAGTAACTTGTAATAAGGAGTAACTTAGGCTACTTTTATTAAAAGAAAAATAAAGTGAAAATCCACGCGGACGAAGTCGCGGGTACAGCTAGTAAAAATAATATGGACCCATATTAATTATTAAAAAAATAAATGTGAAACTAATGTATATTTCATTACCGGGGAGTACAACGGAAACTTTTACATTTAATTTAACTTGCAACTCTACCAAACCCACGGGAGTTTCGGATTCTGCTCGCATTTAACTGCTTTTACTGTAAGATTGTATTACATGAGGTCTGAACTGTCCAGATTGTTACGTTTATTTTTTTAATAAAAAAGATTTTTCTTGTACTGACTTTATCAAATTTATATAGGACTAGCTACTCGCCCCGGCTTCGCTCGGGTATACACATATTATACATATAAACCTTCCTCTTGAATCACTCTATCTATTAAAAAAACCGCTTCAAAATCCGTTGCGTAGTTTTAAAGATTTAAGCATACATAGGGACGGACAGACGGCAACAGCGACTTTGTTTTATACTTTGCAATGTTGATGATGACACCAGAAACACTACCTATCAAATGAAGATAGAATCATGAAAATCGATCACGCAGAATTTTTTTTTTAATTTATTGGTACAGAAAAAAAAGAATTCAGAAGCTTCTCCATTTTTCCTCAAGTCGGTTGAAACCAATAGATCCCTTATGAGAATTACCAATGACTATTATCATCATTAAGTTTAGACATTGATGGTAGACATAAATCTACAAATAAATAAAAAAAATGTAAACTTACAAGGATTGTTTAAAAGAGCAACACACAAGTTTCTTGCTCATTCTTCTTGTGATGAGACAGCTTTCCGAATGAGCGGTAGATTTAAAACAAAAATTGTAGACTATTCAAAAGTTCTTAAATTAAGTTTATTTGAATAGATGATTTTCTATTCTATTCTATTCTATTCTAATATTAAATTAACAGCTTTTTACTGAATGCATATAAAAGAATATACCGTGCATACTTCCAAAAATAAATTTAAAAAATTTTTGTCTGTATGCTCGTTCTTGCTCTGAAATAGCTGGACCTAATTAAAATCTATACATATAAATAAAATTGGAGTGTCTGTTTGTAATATTGAAATAACCGTTATTTACTACATGCATATACGGAACATATACCAAAATAACAATTTTTATAATTTTTGTCTGTCTGTCGGTCTGTTTGTTCCGGCTAATCTCTGAAATGGCTGAACCGATTTTGACGGAACTTTTTTTGGCAGGTAGCAGATGTAAAAAGGAGTAACTTAGGCTACTTTTATTTTAGAAAAATAAAGTTAAATTCCACGTGGACGAAGACACGGGAACAACTAGTCAATAAATAAAAAGTCTGTCGATTCCTCAATGCTGAGGGTCATGACCACCAGGAATATTCTCCATATCCCGTGCCAAGTGGACCGGCGACTGCAGATTTCGCTATTCTTTAAACAAGTTTGTTTTAGAATTACATGTAACCGAAAAACGGCGGGACCGATTGTAATGGAACTTTCATCCACAGACAGCTGATGTTGTTGTTGAGGCTACTTTAAATTAAAAAAAAAAACATGTAGACAATGCCGTTTGTAATATTTAGTTAGCTAACAATAAAATAAACGGTCATAAATAACAAACAATATCTTATACGAATAAATTATTAACTATTTAAAAATTGCCTGAATAATAAAACTCTATCCCAAAGTCGATTGTCACATCCCTACATGATCTATCCTCAATATAAAACTGCAGCATATCGTGGAAGTTTTAAATATACTGCCACGAAATGCTGGAACAATTTACCACCCCCGCTTCAAAATACTATTCAGTCAGTTTCGTCTTTTAAACATAATTTTAAAAAATATTTACTCAAAGTACAAAAATTTTAGACGTGGCAGTTAAATACAGTATTTTTATATACATATATATTGATTAAATAAATAAATATATTCAAGCTATACTATATTACACAAGTCTTTCTATCAACACTTTTTTATCCTAATATATTTTTCTTCTATTTATCACACATATAATTCATCCATTTAACTGATTCTTCATTTTAGATATTTGATTTGAATTTATCACGAATGCTATTTTTTTTTTTTTTCAAGTGGCTCCACTGAAAATCAGCGCTGTAGTGATACGCTGCGGCACCAGCTGAGTGGAAGCCTTTTCAGCAGCGAATTATTAGTTTTTAAGTTTTCTTTTTTATCTGTACGCTTTTTTATGCTGAATAAATGATTATTATTATTATTATTATTATTAAGTATATATATATACTTTGGGGTAGGTTTTATATATTTTATATAAAATATATAAAACTCTACAACATATATTTTATATATCTACGACAAAGATACATGATACAGTGAAGTATCTTGGAATGCACCTGGACAACGGCTGACCTGGAGAAAGCACATTCAAGCAAAAAGAGACCAAATAAACATAAAATACATAGGGATGTATTGGCTGCTGGACAGAAATTCAAAATTATCTCTTGACAACAAACTTCTCCTTACACATCTGTATTGAAACCCATTTGGACCTATGTCATCCAATTGTGGGGTCCTGCTTCAAATTCCATACATAGGGTTCAAAATAACGTCCTGAAATAGCGCGACATAAAGCGCCATTTGCAAAAATATCTGAGGTTCACGACTATCTCAACACTAACAGTAGCAAAATCAAATTCAAATTCAAAATATCTTTATTCATGTAGGTCTATTACAGGCTCTTATGATATGTCAAATCTACCGTCAGTTCGGAATGATTTCGAGATGAGAAGAACTGATAAGAAACTCAGCTCGTATTTTTTTTTAATGTTGTACATATTTACAATAATACTATTTCATTTAAATTCAAATTTGGGAGAACAGAGTGACCACCAGCATATGCTATATAAAAAAAAATCAAAAAATCTAATCAATGTTCGCAACCTGAACAGACCAGTCCCCACAAGAAGATCCCGTTCACGAGTATGACGGATGAGTCAGCCATCATTGCACTCAACCATATTAGAGGGAGCACATCGACCCGGCCCACCACGCCGCCACAAGTTTGAACTTTATAGCGAGCATGACTGTTTCAAGTTACTCCACTATGTCAATTATATTATTTACAGCATAAACTGTACCAATCACAGTTTTCGTCCATTACAATATTTAAATTACAATATGTCATTACTAAATTTACAATAAGTTTCTTTAGTGTTTATTACATTATCTATGTCAATGAGAAAGTTATATACCTCATAACCGAAGCCGATAGCCGAAGAGAACACTACTACTCCAAGTACAAGACACGGCTAGTAAACCATGCTAATGTGCTGGCCAACCAACAGATAGTCCCTGACAATATACGTCGGATGAAAAGGCGTAGGCTACTGGAACCTGATGATTAATCAGGACCACCAAAAGAGACGATAATTCTGCTGGGAATCACACTCGACCTGCGACGAAACACCTATACCACATCTGTTCATAGTCTACGACTGATTGCAGGATACACGCAGTAAAAAAAAAAAGAAACTATTTCAAATAAACATAAAAAATAAACGCAAATATATGTTTTAGGCTTTGAGTTGAAGAAAATCATCTCACCTGAAGGCTTCCCATCTTTCTCGTGCACAAACATTGAGAGCACGCTCTTGATGAGATCCGACGCGCCCGACCCGAGGAGCACATCGTCGGGGGAGGCTGGCACTCCGTCCCGAGCTGTGAGGTACTCCGCCACCCGACCTCGCACTAAGGACAGACCTGCTGATGGTGAATATGCTCCCACAGATCCTCGCCTGTAACAAATAAGACAGAATAGAATTATTAATAATTTAAGTCACTCACGCTGTCTGTCCGTCCCTATGTATGATTAAATCTTTAAAACTACGCAAACAGATTTTGAATCGGTTCTTTTTAATAGAGTGATTCAAGAGGAAGGTTTATATATATATAATACATGTACACCCGGGCGAAGCCGGGGCGAGTAGTTAGTAATATTATAAATGTGTAAGTAGAGATGTTTCTTAAGCTTTCACGCAAAAACTACTGAACCGATCATCATGGAGTTTTGTACACATGTTCTTGGAAGTATTAGAATGAACATAGGATACTTTTTATTAAAAAAAATATTCCTGATTCAATGCGAGCGAAGCTAGTATAAAATATAGTACAAATTGTATAGTATGTTTGGATGAGTCTGTACCAGGGTAGGCGAACCAATGGCACGTGTGCCATTGACGGCTCGCGACACAATATTTTGGGCACGTCGTCGATCATAAAACTGTTTGAAGAAGCTGGCTCATGCAATTTTAACAATATTTCCACCTACCTATGCCTGCGAGCCATTATTTTCAGAAATGAATAACATTAAAAACTCGGTTAGAAACCGTTTGACAGATGAATCCAGTTCAGCATGAATTTTGTTAAAAGTAACATCGTACAAGCCTGACATAAATTATTTGTCATCTAACCTGCAGCAACAGAAGTCACACTAATTTTACAGTAATTTAATTTATGCGTGTAATGAAAACAATCCAATATGTACCTCTTTTGTTTACTTTATTTCATAGAGGGTTTTGATCAGGCATGACGGTAGCAGGCCCCCATCCGTTTCTGCCAATACCATTCTCACAATTTCGATCCTGGATTCGCCAAAGATCCACTGAGATACAAAACAAAAGATGGAAACAAACCACCGATTGCAAACAATCAAAAGTGGCAATTCCTAGAACAAATCAAATAATGACAAAACGCCTAATAAATCTGGACAGGCATAACATAAAAACAATGATAGGGACAATGACGGGCCACTGTCCCTTAAACAGACATTTGTACAAAATAGGTGCTACAGACAGTCCCCTATGCCGGGGCTGCTTTGTAGCCGAGGAAACGGCCGCTCACGTAATCCTGGAGTGCGAAGCAGTGACCACACAACGAAATCAAATCCTCGGAACGGTGAGGTCGCTCCGAGAAGCCTGCGAAGACACCAGGAGACTTCTGCGCTTTTGGGAGGAGCTTGGCTGGCTACGTTAGTAGCCTGGCTCTACACGCACAACGGCCCGAATGAGAGGCCAATTGCGGAAAATGGAGTCCAACCTACATCTACATCTACATCTACATCTACATCTACATCTACATCTACGAGGGTTTTGATAGTATTTATTATTATTATTTCCAAATAATCAGAAAGTCAAAATTATTTGATGGCAAGTCAATGACCCCATTAAACATTTTTTGGAGAAAATGGCACGTTGATGCATAAAGGCTCGCCTACTCTGGCTTATAGCATCGAATAATCTGTTGCACATTTACCACTAAATGCCACACGGGTCACAATACAAATGACTAGAATGTAATTTACACCCAATTTTTTTTTTATAATACAGGGGACAAACGAGCATGCGGCTCACCTGATGGTAAGTGATTACCGCCGCCCATGAGCACCCGCAACACCAGGGGAATTGCAAGTACGTTGTCGGCCTTTTAAAAAGGAATAACCTCTTTTCTTGAAGGTTTCAATATCGTATCGGTTCGGAAATACCATTGCTGGAAGGTGATTCCACAATGTGGTTGTGCGAGGCAAAAAGTTTCTAGAAAACCGTACTGTGGAAGACAGCCATTCATCCAGATGATCAGGATGGTATTTCAGTTTCCGTCAGGTGGTACGGTGGTGAAACTCAGCTGGTATTAATCCGAAGAAAAAAACCCAACTGTAAATTCCATTAAACATTTTACTTCCGACTCAGTGATTCGTGTGTAATCAAAATCTATACTATAAACGTCGATGGGGCGACATAAATCAGCCATGATGCAATATCAGCCATAAATTAATCACGTCAAATCACGCTCATGAATCATTCATCATCGATATTGGTTAATGAGCCGATGGTCCGCGGGCTGCAGGGGTAGGTAGGGAGGGAGGGGGTGTGAAGGAAAAGTGCGAGGTGTGTAAACAAGAAGCTGTAATTAGGATCGCATTAGTTGACGCGTGTTCGCTGTCTGGTACGTCACGGTACGTCATAATTGACGGCCTCGGTGGTCTAGAGGTTTTGCACACCGCTTTACTTCCGATGGTCACGGGTTCGATTCCTCACACGACACAAACATGAGTATAGTTGTTTTCTATATATAATATGTATATATTTACGAAAAATCAATATCTATATATTTGTATCAGTTATCTAGTATCTTCTTATAGAATCACTCTATCTATTAAAAAAAATCGCTTTAAAATCCATTGCATAGTTTTAAAGATTTAAGTATACACAGGGACGAACAGACAGCGACAGCGACATTATTTTATACTATGGAATCAACTATGACATAGTGATTATTTGCTTACTGTTAGCTTCAATATATAAAGAACACTTAGTTGACTAATTTGTTACTTACATTTCAAATTTCAAACCATAGCGAGTCACGTGATGTTGGTGACGTCACGATTATGCCGCCACCAATAGCAATAGAGATAAAGAAGCCGGGAATAAGGAGGGAGCGGGCTGCTCTCTCACACTGTTCGAGGCGACCGAGACGACCACACGTGAATGTACAGCGACGGAATTTATGTGGAGTGTAATTTGAAAAAGGAATAAAATAAAAGTACTGCTGCATCGACGTATCATCTCTGGAACTTCCCAATAATACATACTCACAACCTAGTTACATTTCAAATTTGGAACCATAGGGAGTCACGTGACGTTGGTGACGTCACGATTATGCCGCCACCAATAGCAATAGAGATAAAGAAGCCGGGAATAAGGAGGGAGCGGGCTGCTCTCTCACTCTGTTCGAGGCGACCGAGACGACCACACGTGAATGTACAGCGACGCAATTTATGTGGAGTGTAATTTGAAAAAGGAATAAAATAAAAGTACTGCTGCATCGACGTATCATCCCTGGAACTTCCCAATAATACATACTCACAACCTAGTTACATTTCAAATTTGGAACCATAGGGAGTCACGTGATGTTGGTGACGTCACGATTATGCCGCCAATAGTAGTAGATATAAAGAGGCCGGGAACAAGGAGGGAGCGGGCTGCTCTCACTCTGTTCGAGGCGACCGAGACGACCACACGTGAATATACAGCGACGCAGTTTATGTGGAGTGTAATTTGAAAAAGGAATAAAATAAAAGTACTGCTGCTTCGACATATCATTTCTGGAACTTACCAATATTACTGACAACACTGTATTTGTACTTTTGCTGCCTTTTACTGTATTATAATGCTCTTTTTTGACCGAGTCACTGTTCATAGGCCGCCATCTTGTGCCCCACTATACCCAAAAATCCGGAAGTGATAAGTGATAGTTCTTCTAGCTCGAAAACACTCTGAACTGACTGTAGATTTGACATATCATAACAGTATGTAATAGACCTACATGAATGTAGATATTTTTATTCTTGATTTTGAAAGAGAAATTTGTTACAATCGTGATACAACAATGGACACGCGCCCAAACATTAAGTTTCCTATTCCAGCGTCACTATAGTTCGCTCTCACACGTGTATGTATGTATGTTGCGAGCGCTCTCGATTCCCAAGTTCAAATCCCTCGTATCCTTTACGACACGCATTCTTCCAATTACGCCGCCCCTCCATTGTTCACTATCAGAAAGGCCTATTTTTTCTAAGTATCATACCGTATCATACCTTATATTGAATACTAGCTGTGCCCGTGGTTTCACTTGCTTTAAATTTCAATATAAAATACAGCCTATTAGTTTATTCTGATGCATAAGTTATGTGTAAAGTTTCATCAAAATCCGTTCAGTAGATTTTGCGTAAAAGAGTAACAAACATTTTAACACTTACAAACTTTGGCGTTTATAATATTACTAGCTACTTCGCCCGGGTGTACATGTATTATATATATAAACCTTCCTCTAGAATCACTCTATCTACTCATACTGCTTGTAGGGACTGGTCTGCTCTAATCACTATGATTGATTTCCTCTTATTAATTGTTTAACCAGTGGGTTATATATTCAATATTTTTTCTATTTGAGTATTTAATTGAATTAGTGCTAATTGGTGGTTTGTATTCACACACTTAAACTTAAAAATGTAAGTAACAATAAAATTATTTAAAAGAGCAACACGCAAGTTACTTGCTCGTTCTTCTTGTGATGAGACAGCTTTCCGAACGAGCGGTAGATTAAAAAAATGTAACAACTATTCAAAAGTGCTTCAATGTAAGTTTATTTGAATAAATGATTTTCTATTCTATTAAAAAACCACTTCAAAATCCGTTGCGTAGTTTTAAAGATTTAAGCATACACAGGGACGGACAGACAGTGACAGCGACTTTATTTTATACTATGTAATGATGAAGAATTACCACCATATTGCTGAATTTGTACGTAATTTTTTTTAAAAGAATGCCGCAAGCTGATTGTTTAATAAATCAGTAGTAATGAAATCAGTATAATATACTGATTTCAACCTACAAGGGTGCTTTATACTTCGTCACAAATTGAGGAGGGGGTGATGAAGGAGGATGTGAAGGTGTAACAAGGGGTTTTTTATGTATATATTTATGTATTCTATGTTCGTATTTCCAAAAAAAAATTTTTTACATTTTATTTACTTTTGTTGGGGGGTTTGAGCTATTGTCAGGCGCTTGGACCTGTAATACTGGGACCTACAGGTCTAAATATTTACTACACAACTACCAGGGTAGTCTAATAAATCTAAGTATTTACGCGACGAAGTCACGGGTACAGTTATACATACGTGCAGTCTGCCAGGATCTCTGCGGCCCGCTCCTTCGCGTCTGCCGGGATGTCTGGACATGTCATCAGTTGAGGACAGGCCGCCAGCGCCACCACCTACCACGATAAGGACATCTTAATTATTATCATATTACCATGAAACCCCGGTGGTTTAGCGGTTGAGCACATTGCTTTACTTTCGTTGGTCGCAGGTACGATTCCTCCAGTACAAACATTTGTATTCGGGACTATGAGTGTTTGTCTTGATCTGGGTGTTTTCTATGTATATTATGTATATATTTAGTACCTGTAACACAAGCTTTAGCTAGCTTAACTTGAGACTAGATGGCGATGCATGAATTGTCAAAAAAAATATTTACAAAAAAAATCTAAGTATTTATATCAGTTGTCTAGTACCCAATACAAACTCTACTTAGCGTGGGACTAGATGGCGCTGTGTGAATTATACAGGATATTTATATTTATATTGGTTTACATTATATTAGATTAAATCGGTATAGATACGTACGAATATTATATTATTTACTTTTGATAAGTCGTTTTTTTATTCTACTATTCTGTCACTTTGGCCCTCCGATCGATCCCCGTCCAATTCTAACGGGGATCAAAATTACGACAACCGAGGTTCGAACCCCTACCGGTGCTCTCAAACTAAAGTCGTATCCGTCAGGCGGGAGTTGGCCTTCAGCCGCTCCATAAGTCTTTCCTTGGTTTGGAGTGCCATCTGCACTCGCCCCCTATCGTCCGGTGAAGCTGTAAAGACCAGCTGCGGCCAACAGCATTAGAGTAATCCGAAAAAAAAGGAAAAAGTACTCGGCTCTGGCCGTCGTAATATTGATCCCCGTTTGAATTGGAAGGGGCATCGATCGGAGGGGGGAGGGGGATCAAAAGTTGAACATATTCAAAATTTTGTATGAATACAAATTGACCAATAACAAGTTCAACAGATAGTTTGTTATTCTTCAGTTACATGAAAACATACTCAGCAGTTTCAATATATTTTTTCCCGCATTTTTAGTCTATATACATGCAATGGGCGCAGTTCTTTACACGAGAACCTTCCTGATCGAGTTAGAGAGGGTCCCCTGATTGATTGGCGCCGAAGTCTCGGGCGCCCTCTGGGGACACCTTTTACAATTGTTCAGAAACAAAGACATTTCGCGGCCCTTTTAGCTCGGCTCCGTTTCCGACTTATAAATGATATTAAACTGAAACTGTTTCACCTAAGTGGTACTGACAAGCTGAAGAAATAGAGGAAATAGAAATATAGAAATAATCTTTATTTAAATAAACTCAGTACAAGCACTTTTGAGTAGTCATATTTTTGATTCTGCCACTCATTCGCAATGCATATTCATCACAAGAAGAATGAGCAAGAAACTTGTGTGTTGCTCTTTTGAATATTTTTTTTTAATTGCTACCCATCCTGACTTCGCACTGGTGTATATATATTATACGAATAAACCTTCCTCTAGAATCACTCTATCAATTAAAAAAACCGTGTACACTTATATTGTGGAATGAACTTCCTGCCGAGGTTTTCTCACGAGACTACAGCATGGGGTTTTTCAAGAAGGGTATATTAAGGTTTCTTAAGGGCCGGCAAAGGGCGAGTGATACCCCTGGTGTTTCAGGCGTTCATAGGCTACAGTAACCATTTGCCATCAGATGGGCCGTATGCTTGATTGTCACCATCGTAGTATAAAAAAAAAACGCTTCAAAATCCGTTGCGTAGTTTTAAAGATTTAAGCATACATAGGTTTCGTGATTTCTTTCACGTGAAATTAAAACTTATTTTCTATTAAAACAAATAATATTTATAAAATAAAAGTAATCTATGTTATTCGTTACTGTTTGGGAAACTACATACACGCTCTGCTACCAAAATATTAGGGAATTTACTCTCTGTACACATATAGGGAAAAACAAGGAAGCGTCAGTCATTTACCTTTATGGTTCTGCGGATTTCTTGGTCTTCAGGGTCTCGAACGTATCTTCGCTAGCTTTCCAGTTTCACAGCAGGCCTTACAGTAGGTTTAACACAGTTCTAATTTATTTTAATTCACAACACAATGCGCGCGCGCGTCAAGGGCGCTGTACGGTCCGTTTGTTACTAGTTAGGGAGGGGAAGGGAACGCGCGGGAACAGAAAATTAACGTACTCTAATATAATATAATATCTGAGCTTACGATGATACAGGGTAGATTTTGAACAGTTACTGCGATTGATAGAACAGACAGACCTTGTTATAGCCAACATTGTATAATTTATGTCTCGTAGTGGACACAATGGAATTTGTCAATAACAAACTCTGATGCACAGTTCAACAGTACATTTAATTTTGTCGTTTAGTTTTTACAACAATTAGAAACAGTAGTAAAAGTAGATAATAATATCGACTAACTTGAAGGTATACAAATAATAAAAATTATAACGCCTGTTCAACACAATTAGCAAAAACTACGGCTACAATGTTGGCTATAACAGACATACTTATATATATATTTTTCAATAATAAAGTACCAATCAAATGGAGTTGGTGAATATAATGGTTTAATAAATACTCAATAAATATTTGTACGCTTCATATATGCAGTTTTTCTAAGGGTCTTCATTAACATCTTGTACTGTACGTAAAAACGTTCATAAATATATAAGGGGTTTTTCAAGAACCCTTTTTGAAAAACCCCTTATTTATTTAGAGAAGAAGGGTATATTAAGGTTTCTTAAGGGTTGGCAACTCGCACGTAACACCCCTGGTGTTTCAGGCGTCCATAGGCTACGGTAACCATTTACCATCAGATGGGCCGTATGCTTGTTTGACACCATAGTAGTATAAAAAAAAATATTGTATCATAATTAATGTTTTTGCTTCGAAACCCTAAAAGTCTCATACCGTGAGAAATAACTAGGGACGTGATCTAGTCGTAGTTGCTAGGTTTACGTTTTTTTTCTCTTTTCATCTTCTCTTATCCACTTACCTGCCTGATGAAGGTGATCGGCTTCTGTCCCAAGGCATGGCAGTCTCCAATGTTGGCACGCACCACGCTGTCGAACGGCTTCTCGATGCCCTGATACAAAGGTTGAAGGTTAGACATATATATATATGTACGTCCACTAGCTGAGCCCGCAAAAGTTGCTATATAAATATAAATATTAATATAATATAAATATATAAATTTTAATTCATATAATATTTATTATTATTTTTCTTTATTATCATTATATATTTGTTACCTTTTAGTTTTCTCCTGTTCATGTCATTTAACCTACCTGTTCGATGTTTCAATCCGTTTCCCTAAGGTTGCCTTGAAAAGATTGCTTTTAGCAATAAGGCCGCCTTATTGTAATGATACATGTGTCTTTTGTTATATTGTTTGTGCTTCTTCTTTACTGTACGTTGCAAATAAACTATATTCTATCTATCTATCTATCTATAAATAAAAATCAGTATTCAGAAATACCATTATTTTCACTGGGTGCTTTCTATGTATATATTTACAAAAAAAACTATCTATGTGTTTTTTTAATCAGTTGTCTAGTACCCATAACACAAGTTCTGCTTAGTTTGGAACTTGTTACAATACATAGACCCTGATGAAGAGCGACCTGGACTCTACATGGACTTTGGTGTTCACCAAACGCAATGCTCCAACGCTGATGCAGCGGAACGTGCACCAGCGCCGACAACATGACTTCGCGGTTGCCTAAATGTGCAACCGAACCGGGCTTCCATCTGCCACTTCTATTCTTGCCTCGATAGAGTCACCTCTTTTTTATTATAACTAATAATGAGTAATTTTAATTTTTTTTTAATAGTAATTTTAATTGGGACTGGTCTGGTCTAATCACTATGACTGATTTCCTCTTATTAATTGTTTAACCAGTTGGTTATATATTCAATATTTTTTCTATTTGAGTATTTAATTGAATTAGTGCTAATTGGTGGTTTGTATTCACACACTTAAACTTAAAAATGTAAAGTAATAATAAAATTATTTAAAAGAGCAACACGCAAGTTTCTTGCTCGTTCTTCTTGTGATGAGACAGCTCTCCGAACGAGCGGTACATTAAAAAATGTAATGACTATTCAAAAGTGCTTCAATGTAAGTTTATTTGAATAAATGATTTTCTATTCTTCTTCTTTTAAATAAATTTATATTTAAATAAATTTAGTTTTTTTTAAGTCCTAAGGCTGCCACTTACGTAATTAACTAGATGATGTAATTTGTCCAGGATTATTATTATATATCGACCGCACTAACCCAGTTGACATCCTCACATGTCTATATGTATTGTACGTTATTAATTCATGCAAGTAAAACCACAGTTTGTTACAAACTAATAAATAATCGGATAATTAGTTTTCACACGAATTTTCGAACCCATTACAGTTACGGGAATTATGCAATCTTTTCAATATTTCGCTGCCGAGTCATCGTAATTTGTATTCGAACACCGAACAAGTAATAATGCTGCCCGATCAATAATTAATTAGGCCACTACAGTGAGTGCTACACAGTACTGCGGACTCATTGAAATTCACAATTACCGCTCCAACAATACATACATCATCCAATTATTACATATTGTTGAAAATAATTCAAATTCATTTCCGTTATAATCCTATTGGAAATTTTATAGTATTCAAATTCAAAATATCTTTATTAATGTTGGTCTATTAAGGGCAGCGCAGCTACTAACAAAGTGCAAGTCTGCTGATTAAAAACACATTATTATTAATATTATTCTTTTCTTTTCTTTTCTTTATTTTGTCAGCTTTCGTTGGTTTTCTCCACACTTACGGGCCGAAACCAAGTAAGTGTAGTGTGTGTGTGGGCGCGTGTGCGCACGCGCATGTGTGCATGCGTGTGAGCGCGTGTGTATATGTGTGAAAGTGTGTGTACTCCATACACTGTATGTGTGAGTGTATGTGTGTGTACTCTGTGTATTGTGTGCCTGGTGTGACTGGTGTTATATCCTTTTCATCTATTTCGAGAAATTTTCGGACAGTACGACAGGTTTATTATTATTATTATATATATATATTTATAAAATTCAAATGTGTCATAAAATATTTTCTTTGTAAAAAAGCTTATTATAAAATTGAATAATTTATAAATGATAATAATGTTTTTGTAGAAAATATCTAACTTAATATTCATAGCGCTGATAATGTTATCTGATTGAACCGAGATTAAGTGCGTAGCGGTTTCTATGTTGATTGTCGCATGCCTAATACTTGTTATTAATGAAATATAAGTAAATCAATATTTATTTAAAAGTGCAACACACAAGTTTCTTGCTTATTCTTCTTGTGATGAGTCTGCATTCCGAATAAGCGGTAGAATAAAAAAACTTGACTATTCAAAAGTGCTTATATCAGGTTTATTTGAATAAAGATTATTTCTATTTCTATTTCTACTTTCCGTGTCCCTGTACAATTCTTTTCCTAGCCGTCATTATAAGCTACTCCCAGTATATATTTGTGAGAATAATTCATTAGTTAGTTTCCTATTCTATCTGAGAAATAAATGTGATTATCGTCTCACAATGGAGGCATTCCAAAGGGCGGCAAGCGGATTGTCTGCGAACAATCGCTCGCAATGAAGGGATCATGCCTATTATGGAAGTAACTGTTCCCTACAATAGAGTCGCCAACCGTGCTGTTTTTCCAGGACATGTCCTAGTTTGTAGTGTCCTGGGGTATCCTGAATAGTTTTAGCAGAGTCATATCAGTACCTAATGGAACGAATAAATTAAGAAAAGAACAAAATAATTTTTAGTTCTTTAAGCTACTTTTATTTTAGAAAAATAAAGTTAAATTAAACGCGGACGAACTCGCGGGAACAGGTAGTTATTTATAAAAGTTATAATAAGAACTCACACAGTGCCACCTAGTCTTAAAGTAAGCAGAGCTTGTGTTATGGGTACTAGACAACTGATATAAATACTTGATTACATTTTATTATAAATACATAGCTAACACACATACCAATACAAACAATCATACTCATAAATACAAATATTCGCACCGTCCGCGGAATCGAACCCGCGATCATCGGAACATAAAGCAGTGTGCAAAACCGCTAGACCACCTATCATGTCCATTATAGACAAGAACTATGTTGTAAGTAACACATTCATTCATTCATTCATAATTTAAGAGCTGTGCTCTTGTCGGTGGAGCTCCCGCCACCTTCCACGATCTTCCATCAGTCCTTTTAGCTGTTGGTACGACACGACTTCAACTTTTTCTTTAACCTGCTTGATATAGCTGTGTCTCGGTCTTCTCCTTCCTCTCTTTCCATCTATTTTTCCTTCAATAATGTTATTAATTAGTTCGTCGTGTCGTATCAAGTGCCCCAACATTTCCCGCCTATTCTCAATAATATCGATGATCTGTATCTTTTCTTTAACCCTTTTAAGCACTTCTTCATTTCTTATTTTATCTTTTTTATCTAATCCAACACGGACACTTACACGTAGCTAAAAAATGTACTCACAGATTGAGAACGGTCCGATTACAATGCTCTGGGGGAATGGACGGCAGGAAATACCATTCTTTAACTGTCCGCATTATGAAAGAAGTACTTGTATATACGTATACATTCTTGGGAGTACAGACTGTCAGTTTGTTGTAAAACCTTACGCAATTTCCATAAAACGAATTACCAGCAAGGTGGACCGACGATCTCGCCAAAATCGCTGGAAGGCATCTTTGGGGGAGGCCTTTGTCCAGCAGTGGACGTCTTCCGGGCTGAGATGAATGATGAATTACTAACTTTCGTCAAACTGCACTTAGGTAAATGCTGTGTTTTTTTATGGAAGGTAATGTAATGTAATGATATATCCTTTGACGCTAATGGTATACGCTGGTGAGGCACCAGTGGAGGATAATAACATGAGCATGAAATCAGATGAGTTAGCCCATCGTGACAAATTCACAAAGAATTTAACATGATATTATCCAAGGACCATGGAACCGCATGGAGATCAACCTGACATGGTGCATTGCTAGTAATTTTGGGGTCATCCATCGTGAATTTCACCAGGAATTTAACGTGATCGTTTCTACAGGTGTATGTCGGTTTCTCGATTTTTTTCATGGGGTTCATTAGTTCATTACTTGGTTAATAGTAGTCAGCAATGAATAACAGTCCCCTCATGTGTTACGTTTAACAAAGCCTTCAAGTACTCCATCTTGGTCAATAGTTATAAGTATGTTCAACACGGACCAAATCGGAACTATCAGATTTAACATAAATATACCGCAAAACTCCTGTTTTCCTTATTTTTTATCAACCCTCTCATTTTCCTACATCATGTAAGTAACTGGTTATCGATTGTCGGTGCCGCGGCGACAACAAAGACCCACGGTTCAAGATACATTGAATTAAGAGGGTATCCGGCCGTTCCCAGTCGACAAGAAACGACAAACAGTGAGATAAATCACGCTTATTACGTCGAACTCGACACAACTCGCCCGAAAGGGGTAGACGGCGAAAATATGTTTTTATTGGTCGCAGTGTTGCCAACACTTACAGAACATACCCTAATCTAAATATATATAACTCAAAGGTGACTGACATAGTGATCTATCAACGCATAGCCCAAACCACTGGACTGATCGGGCTGAAATTTGGCATGCAGGTAGATGTTATGACGTAGGCATCCGCTAAGAAAGGATTTTGATTAATTCTACCCCCAAGGGGATAAAATAGGGAATGAAAGTTTGTATGAAACTTTGTCAATTTTAAACCGATCGGGCTGCGACTTTGCATGCATAAAGCTACTATGACGTAGGCATCCCCTAAGAAAGGATTTTGGTAAATTCCATCCCTAAGGGGATAAATTAACGCGAGCGAGGCCGCGGGCAAAAGCCAGTCAATCATAAAATTCATAATCAAGTTCTATTTTTATTTGTTTATGTATATTTTAAATATATATTATATTTATATATAATAAATAATAATATAGTTAATTCGGTAAATATACCAAAATAACATTTTTTTTATAATTTTTGTCTGTCTGTCTGCCAGTTTGCTCCGGCTAATCTCTCATATTCTAATAAATATATTATTATTATTTCCACAGTTTCACCATATACGTACGAGTATATCGGTTATTTTATAGTGATCACTAGGACGGGCTTATATCACCAAGTCACATGCTCACACAATTGTATTATTAAATATTGTTTTCAGGACTGTTTATTATTATTATTATTAACAAAGAGGAGTTAAATAACCCAATTGTACTGGTAAAAATACATATGTGGCAACACTGATCGGTCGTGTTTTCTAGAAATGGCCACTTCACATTCATAACATCACTCTATGTAACATAATATATTTTCACTCAGCATCTGAGTTTATCTCTGGACACTGTATGTTTGTGGTATTCTGTGGACAATATGTAATCCTATATCTGGTAAATATTACTCTAGAAACGATAAATAATCACGACTGTAGTCGCAAAGTCATACTCGTGAACAGGTGCTGCTTGTGGGGACGGTTCTTGTTACGAACACTGATTAGATTATTTGCTTTTGCATATGCTGGTGGTCACTCTATTCTCCCAAATTTGATTTTAAAAATGAATCTGTATTATTGTAAACATGTACAACATTTATTTGAAAAGAATACGAGCTGAGTTTCTTGTCAGTTCTTCTCATCTCGAAATCATTCCGAATTGACAGTGGGTTCGATTTCTCGTACGGTTCAAACATTTGTATTCATGAGTATGTTTGTATAGGTCTGGGCGATGTATGTATTTATGAAAAAATATCTATATTTTTGTATCAGTTTTCTAGTGCCCATAACACAAGCTTTAGCTAGCTTAACTTGGGTCTAGATGGCGCTGTGTGAATTGTCCTGAGATTATTATTATCATCAAGGAATCGAAACCGCAGCCATATCTAGACCGAGTCTCATCCAATCATCATTCAGAACACAGCTTCCCTGTTATAATAAATTGCAATTGTTTCACAATTTTGTAGATTTAATATATCACAAGAGTCTGTAATAGACCTACATGAATAAAGATATTTTCATTTGAAAAAGATATTAATTATCAACCATAGTTTAAAACACGTTAAAACCAACTAATTTTAAACAAGTTTAGACTTAAAATATTATATGAACTTACTCATTAATTAGCGTATTTTTTCATCATTGCCTTGCCTTTATCCCATTATTTGTGGTCGGCGCAGTATGTCATTCTCTTCCACTGCTCTCTATCGGTCGTCATATCTGAGCATACTCTTCTTTTATTCATATCATCTCTCACACAATCCATCCATCTTTTCTTAGGGCGTCCCCTCCCTTTACATCCATCCACATTCATATTATACACTTTCCATAATACATGATCCTCGTTCCTCCACATAACATGTCCATACCAGCTCAATCTGTTACCTCGCAACTTTTCTATAACCGACGCAACTTTCAAACACATTACACATTCCTTATTGTGTCACTCCTGGTGACCCCACACATCCATCTTAACATTCTCATTTTTCCCACATGCCGTCCGTCCCCTTTACGGCCCAACATTCAGAACCATACAAAAAAAATGGTGTATTTTTTATGACGTGATTATTAAAACATTATCCGACTGGAAATAAAAAAAAACCTCATTAACTTTAACAGTTACAATCATAACCTAATGATTGGTTAATACGTGCATCTATACTAATATTATAGAGTGGTAATGTTTGTGTGTTTGTGAGAATTATCACTAGATCTATTGCACCGGTTTTGAAAATTCTTTTAGTGTTGGATAACCCATTCATTGAGGAAGGCTATAGGCTATAGAACGTCACGGGGTAATGTTGAGAAACTCTTTTGATATTAATATATTTAAGGTTTTCTTGTATTGTCTATAAAAACAAAATTATGTATTATGTCACTTCACTGTCTACCATCTTACCATTAAATACATTTTTAACATTATTATTACACATTAACACAACGCCATCTAGTCCCACGGTAGGCAGAGCTTGTGTTATGGGTACTAGACAACTGATACGTATATAGGTACTTTTTTTTGTAAATACATACATGATATACATAGAAAACGCCCAGACCGATAGAAACAATCACTCATGAATACAAATGTTTGTACCGTGCGAGGAATCGAACCCGCGACCATCGGAAATAAATCCGTGTGCTAAACCGCTAGACCACCGAGGTCGTCACAAAAATATAACACTATATAAACCTACCTTTTGTAACTCCCTCTCAATTTGCGAGGCTCGTTCCAAAATGGGTCCGCGCACTGCGTACCTAATATTTAACAAGTTTTTGTTAATGTTATCACAATTTACACTCTTGTTGTACAGCTTCATTTTAAACAATTATATATTTCACAGCGATCTGAACTACCCGGTTCAGAAGTGGAACTGGAGTGCAGTGGAGTCGCGAGCTGTATCGGTTATTATAAGGTTTCGGTATCACTGGTAGATTCCCGAGTACGTAGTGAGCGATGCTAATTGTATTCGACGTTTTCCTGTGACCAAACGACACTGCGTTACTTAAAAGTAATAACTATTAAAGAGTATCATTAAACAGGGTTCCATATCATATTTATGACTAGCTGTTCTCGCGACTTCGTCCTTTAACTTCATTTTTCTAAAATAAAAGTAGCCTAAGTGACTCCTTATTACATCAGCTACTTGACAAAAAGTTGCGTCAAAATCGGTCAAGCCATTTCAGAGATTAGCCGGAACAAATAGACAGACAGACAAAAATTTTTAAAAATGTTATTTTGGTGTATGTACCGGATTTATATTAATATGCATGTAGTAAAAAAACGGTTATTTCAATATTACAAACAGACACTCCAATTTTATTTATATGTATAGATGTATAGATAATGGAATGGTGCACCCGCCTGTGCTAACGGTTTACGCTGGCGGGGCACCAGTCGAGGATAGGATGAGCATGAGGTCAGGTCAGTTTGCCTATTGTGACAAAATCACCATAAATTTATCACGATGGTTTACAGGGGGAACCGTGTGGAGGTCAAACCGACATGGTACATGGGTAGCAATGGAGTAGTTAGTCCACATTTAACCCCTAAATTTAATCTCCCTTTTTAGATTGGACTATTTCCTTTTGACAAAATGACAATAGCGTGTTATGGCGGTCATTCTATTTTCCCTAATTGAATTTAAAACTAAATCTGTATCATTGTAAACATGTACAACATTTATTTGAAAAGAATACGCGCTGAGTTTCTTGTCAGTTCTTCTCATCTCGATATCATTCCGAACTGACGGTAGATTTGACATATCATAAGAGTCTGTAATAGACCTACATGAATAAAGATATTTTAGATTTTGAATACAAACTTTCACGATTGCAATCTATACATATAAATAAAATTGGAGTGTCTGTTTGTAATATTGACATAACCGTTTTGTACTAAATGCATATGAATATAAATACGGTACATACACCTAAATAACATTTTTTACAATTTTTGTCTGTCTGTCAAATGGCTGGACCGATTTCGACGGGATTTTTATTGGTAGAAATCTGATGTAATAAGGAGTAACTTAGGCTACTTGTTTTTTTTTTATTAATAATGTGATTGTGCTTTGTCTTACCTCATCTAATGGTAAATAATGGCAAGACCACAAGATGTACCGCGCTTACCCAGAAGAAATCATAGACTTTTAGAAAATAAAGTTAAATTCCACGCGGACGAAGTCGCGGATACAGCTAGTTGTTATATAATTTTAATCACTCAGTAGGTACAATACTTGTATTTTGGTAGAGAACCCCAATTGATAACAGATTGTGCAAACTGTCGCGGCACCGGGACATACCCGCTGGTTTCCTTGTAGATAATTGGAACTGAAGACGATTCTTAACGATTCGTTAATGCAACAAAACATTATAGTTACCTTGGGAAATACAAAAAACCCTAGTAAATAATAATTACAATACAGGTATTTGTAATAGAGATTTCTTTGAACTGTCACTCATACCTCATCGTCATATATTTTTTTAATATTTAACTTTTTATTTCTTATCAATTGCTCTTCCCTGAATTTGCATTTTTTATACCACAATAGTAGCATCTGATGGTAATTGGATGGTTTCGAAGCAAAAACATTAATTATGATATAATATTTTTTTTTTGTACTACTATGGTGTCAAACAAGCATACGGCCCATCTGATGGCAAATGGTTACCGTAGCCTATGGACGCCTGAAACACCAGCGGTGTCACGTGCTGGTTGCTGACTCTTAAGAAACCTTAATATACCCTTCTTGAAAAACCCCATGCTGTATGTTAGAATTCACGACATTATTGTAGAAAAAATCCGATATTTTAAAAATATATTAAAAGAAGGTAGTTTGTTTTTAGTACAAATGAAGTACTCGATGTAAGGATTATTACGAATATTGTAAATAGCGCCATCTAGTATTTATAGACCAACCTACTACACTGACTTTGGTCTATAAATACGGAGGTCGGTAGTTGAATAATCCTCTTTCGTTGCGTGAGCCGCGGCATTCAGTCGACGAGCGCAGAGCGTGCCGGTTGTGTTTTGGATACTAAAGTGAATTATATTAGCAATGGGTTTATCCCGGTCTTAGTTGTGCCTGGGGGGAAGCTGCAAGTAGTGAAGGTGAGTGTTAATGCATTCTAAAAGGGCCTTTTAAACCTACACCCGTGTCACGAGTCACGGACGCTACTTGGGGTTTCCCTTGCGGTAGCCGGCTTCAAAGCCTCAGTCGTCCATCATAATTGTTGTGAATAAAATGCAAGTTCGACCAAGACTGACTTTATTATCCATGCACCCACAAATACATGATAAATCATTTACCCTCATAAATATTACAACAATAATTAGTGCTTCTTTTTTTTTCTCTTTATTTTGGCAACAAACAGTCGTTATAAAAACATATAAATATACAAATAAAAGTAATTTTTACGATAGACATTGAGTGCCGAAAATTATTTACTTAATTTTATTTTTAGTGAGCCTAGTGGACTAAAATAAAAACAAAACAATACAAATACGAAGAAAATGAATAAGAAAAATGAGTATGAATAAGAAATAAGAGTATTACAATACAAACATTATAATAATTATAATAACAAAAATAAAAATAAAAAGGGGGTTACTTTAGTATTTCGAAGTTTCTTTCTATATGTAACTAAGGTGCAACAAAACGGATCCAATTCAACAAACTTTGTGTTTTTCTTACATGTAGTCTCGTGAGAAAACCTCGGCAGGTAATTAATTCTACAACCTAAGTCACAGACTTCAACTATCATATTGCAAAAAAAATATTGTCTTATTGCCTTTCACTTACGTCAACAGATTGCTTTCTAAAATATCTTTTGTTTGAAGCAGAATTTCTCAAACCTTTTTAGAACCATGCACAATGCACCAGCTTCGCCTTTCTAACATTCTTATGCTCATAATACAAGATCATCAAGCTCCTTACTAATATTGTAAATGCAATAGTAACTCTGTCCGTCTGTCTGTCGCGAAAAGTACTTAACGGATATAAATTAATTTTGGTACACAGATCTATACCCTGAGAAAGGACATGGGCTACTTTTTAATGTGGAAAAAGGGTTGAAAAGGGAGAAAAGAGGTTGTATCAAGGAATCGTCATTTGATAGCTCATTTCCCCTCGAAACGAGCACAGCCAGCCTATACATATAAATAAAATCGGAGTCTGTAGGGGTTAAATGTGGACCAACTACTCCATTGCTAGCCATGTACCAGGTCTGACCTCCACACGGTTCTCTCTGTAAACCATCGTGATAAATTTATGGTGATTTTGTCATAATAGGCAAACTGACCTGACCTCATGCTCATCCTATCCTCGACTGGTGCCCCGCCAGCGTAAACCGTTAGCACAGGCGGGTGCACCATTCCATTATCTATATATATAAATAAAATTGGAATGTCTGTTTGTAATATTAAAATAACCGTTTTTTACTACATGCATATCATAAATACGGTACATACACCAAAATAACATTTTTTAAAATTTTTGCCTGTCTGTCTATTTGTTCCGGCTAATCTCTGAAATGGCTTGACCGATTTTGACGCAACTTTTTTGTCAAGTAGCTGATGTAATAAGGAGTAACTTAGGCTACTTTTATTTTAGAAAATGAAGTTAAAGGACGAAGTCGCGAGAACAGCTAGTGATACATAAATCACTTCGCACAATCATCCCTCTTCACGACAAAAAAGAGAGCAGATGATAAAAAAAGTTAAGCTGCTCCCACAACGGAGATTTAATTATGTATGGCGGAGCATTAGCCGCGCGGATGCTCAGATGACGGATTTAGACGAATCTCTTCGTCTTAGCCGTTTGTGTACTTAGAGTCAGCGCCGGCATTACAACTGTCTCGCAGGGAGACTACAGGAAGCGATACAGACGGAAAACATTCTAAATATATGTATATATACATATAAATAAAATTGGAGTGTCTGTTTGTAATATGAAAATAACCGTTTTTTACTACATGCATATGAATATAAATACAGTATATACACCGAAATGACATTATTTACAATTTTTGCCTGTCTGTTTGTTCCGGCTAATCTCTGAAATGGTTGGACCGATTTTGACGGGACTTTTTTTGGCAGGTAGCTAATATAGTAGCGAGTATGACGTATGAGCCAGCCATCATTGCACTCAATCATATTTGAGGGAGCACATCGACCCGGCCCACCACGCCGCCACAAGTTTGAACTTTATAGCGAGCATGACTGTTTCAGGTTACTCCACTACATCAATTATATTATTTACAGCATAGGCTGTAAAACAGAACTGACAGAAAACATTACAAATATATATATGGAAATAAATAAAATTGAAGTATCCGTAACTTCTTACATTTCTTTTTTTGGGATGATAATGGAATGGTGCCCCCGTCTGCGCTAACGGTTTACGCTGGCGGGGCACCAGTGGAGGATGATAAGTTGAGTATGAGGTCAGGTCAGTTGGCACATTATGACAAATTCACTAGAAATTTATCACGATGATTTCCAGGAGAAACTGCGTTGCAGGTCGCTCTAAAATGGTAAATTGCTAGCAATGGAATCCCCATTGCTGGATCTATTATATTACTAGTTCCCATTACTAAAAATCCCCACTCCCATTCTTACAACATTGGATCTTTCGAGGCATTATTTGAACTTAGACCCCATCATCACTTAACATCAGGTGAGATTGCGGTCAAACACGCTCAAATTTTGTAATAAATTATTCAAATTAATAGCTTAGAACAAAATATCTATTTGTACTTGCTAACCTTTGAAACTGCTAAACCGATTTTGACGGGACTTTTATTTGCTAATGATATT